TCCTGTCTTCCATGAGCGTACGAAACACATTGAAATTGATTGCCACTTTGTGCGTGACGAAATCCAACGAGGTGTTTTGTGTACTCGCCACATCTCCACCAATGAACAACCGGCAGATCTCTTTACAAAGGCTTTGGCTTCCGCTCCATTTTCCCATTTGCTGTCCAAACTGGGCATCCAGAATCCGCATGCTCCAGCTTGAGGGGGGGTGTTGGGCGGTGCTCCTTGGACCACACGGCAAGAAGGAGAGCAAATCCCATTCTAAGTGGGATTGCTCTTGATTTGTTTCCTTGTTCATATTTAGTGATTTGTTTCCTTGTAGGAATAGAATTCCTTTTGTGTTTTGGTCTTTATCCTCTCCTATAAATAAAGGAGAAACTCCTTGTACTTAGCAGAACAATTCAATATACAGAATATTTTCCCTCTTATCAAATTCTTCAGAACTTCCCATACTAGGGTAAAAAGATATGGGCTTAGCGATGACCCTTGGTGTAATCCTACACCGATGGGAAATTCCCCTGTTATCCCACTTTGACTTCTCACGCTCGTTATAGCACCATCGTACATGTCCTTAATTGCACGAATATATGCAATCCTTACTCCTTTTTTCGCTAACACCTTCCACAATATTTCTCTTGGTACCCTGTCATATGCCTTTTCCAAATCAATAAAAGCCATGTGTAAATCTTTCTTCTCGCTTCGATACCTTTCCATCATTCTCCTCACCAAGGTTAATATTTACAATATTTGTAACTTATCCAAAAAAAGTTGTACCTTGATAAGAATATGTCTCCTTTTTATCTTTAGGACGGAAGGATTTTTAATTAAGACTCTTTTGTTAGAGTCTGTTCTCCTCAGACTAGTGACTCAACTTTGAGACTCAAGATTCCAGTCTCAGTTTGGCCCTAGTCTCCAAATTCTAGATTTTAGTTAAAATTACTAGTGCATCCGGACTGCAAGTAAGTCTCTAGTTAAACTCAAGGTGTGGAAGAGGCCCTTAGTCTAGTTATCTATATAAAAAGCGCTTTATACTCCGTAATACATAACATATTTGCTTACATAATAATAATAATAATAATAATAATAATAATAATAATAATAAATTAATAATAATAATAATAATCATCATCATCATCATAATAACAACAACAATCTTATAACTCAATGAATGTTGCTATTATGATATGCTGCAAATGAACATGCATATTTGGTGGCATCCATTTCAGCAGTCTTGTAGTCTTGAATTTGATGGCGCTTCAAAAGGAAATCCTGGACAAGCTGGGGCAGGAGCTGTGCTGCGAGCTGATGATGGCAGCTTGGTATTCTATTTATAGACACATCTGTCTCTTCAGCATATTTGTTTTTCTTCCCTCAAATTCTAAACATTACTTCTCTCTGTACACAGACCATTAAGCTTCGTGAAGGTCTGGGAATGACAACAAATAACGTAGCTGAATATCGAGCCATTATTTTGGGTTTAAGGTGTGCACTGAGCAAAGGATTTACACGAATTCGCGCACAAGGTGACTCTAAGCTTGTGTGTATGCAGGTTGTTTAATTTCTCATGCGTGAAATATCTCTCTTCCACTGTCAGTTTAGAAGTACTTCCTGAAACTTAGCCTTTGTAAAATTAGATCCAGGGTCTTTGGAAGGTAAAAAATGAAAATATCTCAACCCTGTATGAGCAAGCAAAACAATTGAAGGATAGATTCCATTCCTTCCAGCTCGTGCACGTTCTTCGGGTAAATTATGAGACTTGTCTCAAGTTATTTTCAGTTTAGTTTTTTAATACTGAGTAGTATTTAATTTATAGTTAGTCTTTAAAGTTTAAATATAAAAAAAAATACAATAAAAGTTCTATCATACGGTGTAGATAGCAACAATTGAACTTTTATACTCTGTATGATGTAAAATTGATTTATAGAGAGTAAGCAAAGAACGAAGAGTTAGTTTTGACCAAATGAATAGTTGAAGGCGATACATTCACATTCTCCAATTGCTACATTGCCTCTTCATTGACATTACAAACATTTGTTTTGCTATTATTGATTATTATAGGATTCAAATGCTGAAGCTGATGAACAGGCAAATTTGGCCATCCATCTAGCGGGTATGGTGTTTTTAGGCACACGTGCAAACAGGAGTGTTTATTAGTCAAAATATGTAAACTTTATTGTTCGATGCAGATGGCCAAGTTCAAGAAGAGGTAGCCTAGGAATGTAAATGGTCATACACATATGCCACAGGCATTGGCCTTTCTTTCATTCTCACCGCGAGGCTTTTTCCCCTTTTGCAGAGAGTATGAGAAATGTCATTGGTGGAACTAATTATTGTCCGTCGATTTGTGAAGCGGAATGAACGCATTTCATTTCCCACATTCCTTTTTGTGTTGTGGTGTGCCTAGATAATGGATTTCTGGTTAAATCAACTGTGTGTTTCATACTGTTTTTTTTCCTTTAGCATTTCATTTTCCACATTCTTAGCATATATGCACTTGAATTTGCTCTAATATTTTAAGAGATATTTTTGGTCAAACATTAGGTTCGAAAAACGAACCGGACAGTTAAAAAGGGATTGAGAGAGTAATACTCATCCGTCCTATAAAAAAGTGTGAAATTTGCACTAAATAGTACTAAAACATTTGTCGTTTCTCAATGTAGTACCTAAAATTTTTTATTCCCTAAATAGTACTTGAACAATGTCCAATGGCGGGAACAATGTTCAGTGGACATTTAGTTGAACAATGTCTAGTGACGGTGGACATTTACTTGAACAATGTCCAGTGTACAATGTCTTGTGGTATTATATTGGGAAATTAAAACATATGGTACTACATTGGGAAACTCGCTATGTTTTAATACTATATAGGTAAATTCCTCTGTTTCATATTTTTTTCATTTGTCTCCAAAAAAGATTTAACTTTCCATATTTAGAAATGTTTTTGTGATTCGAATAACGTCTTTCTCTTTTGTACTACTTCCGTTCCATTTTAAATTGCCTGTTTGTCTTTTTTCTCCGTCCCAAAATAAGTTGCCTGTTAGTTGTTTTCGTAAACTTTTAAGAGTAAAATACTAAAACTACCTTCAAAATAAGTCACTATTCTCCACATTATTTTCTCATTCATCATCATCCCTTCTAAAAAGTACTAACAATTTTGAAAAATCAATTCTATTTTATATTTTCCTTAAATATGCCCAAAAGTCAAAACGGGTGATTTAAAACGGGACGGAGGGAGTATTACTTTCAACTATTCAAATTTATTTTTCTACGAGTAATATTTATGCCAGCCAAGTCAAATGTAGAATCTTTTTACGGAAGGTCCAAAATATAAAAAAATTTCTTCTCTTCTTTCAAACGGCGATTATCAACGGGCCGGATTACTGTTTAGTTATTCTTCGAGAGAATTTGTTTGTCCAAAGTGGGCCGATTTTAAACGGTGCTGGGCCCTCTCCCAACTTTCCCTCATTTCAGTTTCAGTGTTTCACCGACTTGGGGGCCAAGAAATGCATAAAATGAAAATTAATTGGAAATTTGGAAGGAAAGAAATCTGGAAACGCTCGTAATGCTGCTCTCATGGGTAACCTTCTAGAGAGAAGGTGAAGATGCTGAGAACAGGCGTACGGAATTTGGCATCTCTGTGTAAGAGCGTAAACTCCTTTCACCGGACTGTCCGACCACTTACTTTCCGATGCTTCTCCGCGAAGCCGTTCGCATCGCCGCCGGCGTCCAATGCTCGAATCGTGGCTCCCAGCACGGCAGCCGGACTGGTCGAGGATCTTCTGTTTGGTAATGAAGTCGCTGTTCCTAAGACTGATACGATTCCGACTCCGCTGCAACCTGGCGTCGTAGTTTACGATGGCGTCTGCCATCTCTGTCATAAAGGTAAGCGAAATTTCACGCGATAGCCTTTGCTTACTCAAATTGTATTTCGTTTCCTGGTAGACATCGATGTTATGTTGCGAATTTTTGGTGTTAATGCTTGCAATGTCTCCGTTCATCTACATTTTTACAGCGTAACTTTGTTGCGCGCCCTATTGGACTACTTATCAGACTGGCAATTGGCTAATATCTGATCTTGAGTAGAGTCATTTTTGTGCTCCATATTTTTGAGATGAGAATTTTGTCTGTAAATTTAAAAGAGCTCTGAGAAATTGTTACGGAGTACTCCGTAGTATTTAGATGTATTGCAATTTCTAGTTAGTCAGCATGATTTGTTGAAGACCGCCATTGTGTACTGTTTTAAGAAGAACGCTTCGTCTGCCAATTTAATGTGTACTGTTTTAAGAAGAACGCTTCGTCTGCCAATTTAAAGGAGCATTGCAAAATCGGCAATTTAAGATATTGCATTCTTCTTGCTAGTCTGCATGATTTGTTGCGGCTACAAAATACACACACACACACACGCAGCGTTGCATTAAAAGTTGGAAGAGTCCTGGAATGAGATATATGTGGAGAATCTTGCAAATCCTTTCAAAGAATCTGGCCTGTAATCAATTTGTCAAATTGTTGATGCCTCATTTGTGCTTCATATAGCAATCAAATTTTCTGCTGAGTTAAAAATCATGCCTATGGATATCTCATGTCTATGCTGATGGATTTACTGATATTTTCTGTTTATAGGGGTGAAATGGGTTATTAAAGTAGACAAGGATATAAAGATTAAGTTCTGTTGCCTTCAATCAAAAGCTGCTGAACCATATATGAGTTTATGTGGAGTTGATAGAAATGATGTTGAACGCCGTTTCTTGTTCATTGAAGGCCCAGGTCTATACCATCAAGGCTCAACTGGTTAGAAATAAACCTCTATACTTTACTTACTCTCATATATTCCTTTTGCCATCTTTGTATTTTGATCTATTGTTGATGCTTTTCAGCGTCTCTCCCTAAGTCCCTTATATGTGGCTAAGTTGTAGGGAGTCAATCATCTTGAATTTACTATGTCTGAAATTTTATGTGTAAATGTGATACAATGATTCATGAAGTAAACTATGCAATGGAAGTACATTTGTTAGGTGGATTGGCATTGAATCAAAGAGTTTGCAGCATTGTCATGTACAGTTTTTTTCCTTAGGGTATGTCTGGGAGCTGTGCATTGAGGAGATGTGAGAGGAGGGGGGTATTATTTTAAAACTGGGAGAATAATATGTGGTTTTTGGTTATGAATAAATTATTACTCCATAGAACATTAATATTGTACTCCCTCAGTCCCAATTTGTTGTGCACAGTTTGACCGGGTGCTAAGACTAAGAGAGAAAATTGTGACTTATATTTATGCTCATGCAAGCTAAGTAATATGAACCACATAATGATTGTAATAAATAAAAACAGGAACATCAAACTGGGAGGGATGGACAAAAAAAAGAGAAGCCCAACAAATTGGAATGGAGGGAGTAATACACAATTTATAACTATATATCTTTTCGTTTGAAAATTTATCGCATTAAAGCATTATCTTCTTACAATGAAAATATATTACTCTGCTCTCCATATCCAAACCCTTGCAAAACAAATATTCGAAAACTTTTTTACCGTAGTAGGTCAGTAAATATATCTCTCGAACGTGATTTAGTTTTGGTTCATGTAGTCAATTTTGAGTTACTTAGTATAGGGCTTTGTTGGTGATGTTGTTTGTTAGTTTGTTTATGATGACCTAATGATATTTGCGGCATCCAAAAATTTCAAGGTCAGGATTTTTACCGGGACAGTGAGAGGTCTCTATTTACTCTCGTTTGCTTGTTTCTATCTCCCTTCTTGATGAAATTGGGATGTTTTTTAATCTATCTTTGAACTGGTCAGCATTACCTTTCAGAAAATACAATTGAGCAAAGGTTTAGCTAAGTGTTAAACACATGCATGCAGGATTACTGCTTTTATTAAAACGTAGAAACGGTAGTTTCTCTAGTTAAATGATTTTTATGGCATCTAACATTCAGGGCTTCGGGCTATGTCTCAAATGTGTAAACTGGCAGTAAGAAAAATGCTATAAGGAGAATAGTTTTTAAATACTTAGTAGCTAAGATAAGATGTAAAATTGAATTTGGTAATTAAAAAAATAATCAATGTTGCATTTATTTAACCCAACGAAGTTGGGATTGCACGAGATTTGTTGTTGTTTACATACTATAAATGTCTAAAAACGAAATGAAACTGAACAAATATGTAAAATTGATTTACTTTGAACTAATTGTTTTTCCCTCCAAAATTTGTTTCCTTCCAAAGTTCTCCTCTGGTTTCCTCCATATTATCTTTGCCTAACATTTTCTGGGTTGACCCTTACTAGTTTCATTTCTTCTGTTCAATTATTTTCAACTTTTCATTGGACAAGTTTTTATGTTTTCTGGTTTATGATGATGCAGCTGCACTGAGGGCCTGTTTGGTTGGCAGGAAGGGAGGGGGAGGGGAAGGATGGAATGGAATGGGAGGGGAGGGGGAGGCTTCCTTTAACCTTGTTTGGTTGGGGGAGGGGAGGGGAGGGATATTCATCCAAACTCGGAACTTCAACTTTGGATCATTCCAGCTTTGCTCAGCTTCAGATTCAATTGATACAACTTCAATTTTCCGATCGATCGACGATGGCGATTCCAACTCATCCGAACTTCTTGTTTGGAACTAAAACTAAAGCTCTTTTTTTTTGTAAGGAGGACAAAAACAAAGAGAAAGGTGGAAAGGAAAAAATAGTAAGAAAAGAATATGAAGAAGAAGAATTGAAGAGGACGAAGAAGAAAAATAGAAGAGGAAGATAAAAAAGACGAAGAAAAATAGAAGAGGAAGATAAAAAAGACAAAGAAGAAGAATAGAAGATCGGGGAAAAAAGTAGGAAGAAAAAGAAGAATAGAAGAGGCGAGGAAGAGAGAGAGAGAGAGAGAGAGAGAGAGGGGGGGGGAGGGAGAGGGAGAGGGAGGGGGCGAGAGGGAGAGGGAGAAAACAAGCCCAACAAATTGGAATGGAGGGAGTAATACGCAATTTATAACTATATATCTTTTCGTTTGGGGTGTGATGGGATAAATCAAAATGGATCAAAATGGATCTCTAAACTATGGAGTCAAAATTTCACCATTTTTGGCTTTGGGGTGTGATGGAATAAATCAAAATGGATCTCTAAACTATCTGCGCTTCTTTAATTAATGAAGTAGCAGTTAGTCAAACACTGCAACTTTCGATGTTGAGCCGGGGGTCTCTTTGGAAACAGCCTCTCTACTTTCGAGTAGGGGCAAGGTCTGCGTACACACACCCTCCCCAGACCCTACTCTTGTGGGATTTAACTGGGTTGTTGTTGTTGTTGTATATCTTTTCGTTTGAAAATTTATCGCATTAGAGCATTATCTTTTTACAATGAAAATATATTACTCTGCTCTCCATCATATCCATACCCTTGCAAAACAAATATTCGAAAACTGTTCTACCGTAGTAGGTCAGTAAATGTATCTCCTGAACGTGATTTACCTTTGGTTCATGTAGTCGATTTTGAGTTACTTAGTATTGGGCTTTGTTGGTGATGTTGTTTGTTTGTTTCTGATGACATAATGATATTTGCGGCATCCAAAAATATCAATGCCAGGGTTTGTACCGGGGCAGTGAGAGGTCTCTATATACTTTCTTTTGCTTGTTTCTATCTCCCTTCTTGATGATATTGGGATGTTTTTAATCTATCTTTGAACTAGTCAACATTACCTTTCAGAAAATACAATTGAGCAAAGATTTAGCTAAGTGTTAAACACATGCATGTAGGATTACTGCTTTTATTAAAACGGAGAAAGTGTACTTTTTCTAGTGAAATGATTTTGACGGCCTTTAACATTCAGGGCTTCAGGCTATGTCTGAAATGTGTAAAATGGCAGTAAGAAAAAATGTTATCAGAAGAATAGTTTTAAAGGAGTTAAGATAAGAAGTGAAATTGAATTTGGCTATAAAAAAAATCAAAATGTTGCATTTATTTAACCCAACTTCGTTGGGATTGCACGAGTTTTGTTGTTGTTGTTTTTTACAGAATATAATTGTCTAATTTACTTTGAACTAATTGTTTTTCCCTCCAAAATTTGTTTCCTTCCAAAGTTCTTCTCTGGTTTCCTCAATATTATCATTGCCTAGCATTTTCTGGGTTGAACCTTACTAGTTTCATTTTCTTCTGTTCAATTATTTTCAACTTCTATCTTTGGATAAGTTCTTATGTTTTCTGGGTTATGATGATCCAGCAGCTGCACTGAAGGTTTTGTATCACCTGCCATTTCCATACTCAGTACTAAGTGCATTCATGGTTATCCCCAAACCTCTAAGGGATGCTGTCTATGACTATGTTGCAAAGAGACGCTACGACTGGTTTGGGAAAGATGGTGGGGATTGCTTGGTTCTGCAGGACAAAGAGTTGCTAGACCGTTTCATTGATGCAGAAGAATTGCTGAGACGGAATCGATCTGCATGCTCTGTGAATAGTAGCTCTTCTTGACTTCATCACAAGGTTTTATGTTGTTATCCATATATATGCTTTTCTGTGGTTCACTCATGACATTTTTATCCTTCATAATAGGATTAGGAATGCATGCATTCTCATGGCCGGATTTTGACCCACCGAGATATATGGGAGTAAATCTGTAATGGAAGGAGGAGTAAGAGAGTAGAATCTAGCTATATATATGAACTCAAAACCCCACTTTGTTAGAGTTACGTTGTCAAACCAAATTCTTATTTCTTCTATTATTTCTCTCAGTAATGTTTTTTCTCTTCTCTGCTAAACTTGTCAAATTCTTTCTTGCTTTTATTAAATAGTGGACAAGTTCCACTAGCTCCGCCTCCAACTGTGCCTTTACACTCACCCCCAACTCTTCATGTCTTTATGTAGTAGTTATCATATTCAATTTATGTAACTCTGTTCTTAATTCTTCTTCCTTGCTAACTCTTCTTATCCTTCTCTCATTCCTAAATGAACAAAATATACTTCATTCACCGTTCCACCACCCCCCCCCCAAATCCCTTCCATCCCTTATATATATATATATATATATATATATATATATATAAAGGGTATGATTTCTTTTTTACAATGTTATTAAAGTAATTCGACTTGTTTTTATTTTTAAATTATTAGTTTCATGATCTGTACCGTTAAAATTTTATCCAAAACGCTAATCGTTAATCGCTAACGCTAACGCTATTCCCAAACAGGCCCTTATACTAAACACATCAAACTAATTAATCGGCAGAGAAAATGCATGAAGAGGAGTAAGTTTAAAACTCTTGCTGGAACGCAACAAAAATTTAGTAGTGACTTGAAAGAAAAATGGGCAAGACCTAAGAGTAAGATGAGTGCATGAATTAAGCGTGAATATATAAAATAAAGATAAAACAAACAAACTCGTACTTGTTGTCTTGAGTTTTTACAGGGCGGTTGGCAAAAAAGTGGTGTCCTCCACGGTAGTGGTAATCGAACTAAAAATTAGTGATAAGAACTTCGAGGTCGAACAAAACATCAAAAGTGTCTCCAAACGGTCCTCCACAAGCCTAGAACACATCTTAGTTCTTAGGTTTGAAAAATTAGATTCCAATTTTGATTTATTGAGTGATTTACATGTTCTTAATAAATGTTTAAATTAAATAACATACGTGCATCCGCTGTCCCTAATCATTTGCTCACATGCGACTTAAAAATATTAATCATTTAATAGGACTTTATAATGGTATCATATTAATATTAATAATTTTTCATGATGGTCTCATATGCAATGACTAATACTAAAAGTCGAGACCAATTTCTTAAACACGTGGGATTATTTTTGAAAAAAATATGTTTAGTCATGACCAACTCTACTTAAAAGTTTAACAAGTTATAAATACCTATTTTTAAGTTTATTGTTATACTCCGTATTTAACTGCATCATAACTTTTTAAATACTCTCTGCAAATATTTTTTTGCATAGGTATTTGAATTATATAAAAGCTTTACTTTAGTAACTTTGCATTATTATTTATTTCCAAAAAAATTGTTGGACGTGTATCGCACTGGTACGTAATCTCCCTCACTTCATATCATATTTGGACTAAAAGCCCAAAATTATATGTTCCAGTATATTTATTCAGTTTGACTTTTTGAAGTCAAACTGGATGAACTTTGAGCTTCAATTACTCTCAGACTGTAATACATTTTAGTATAAAAATGATCTTATTAGATTTATCATATTAGGAACTTTCAGAATTGTATTTCATTATACTAAAATGCAATGCAAATCGAAAGTAATTGAAGCTCAAAGTTTGTCCAATTTGACTCAAAAAAGTCAAACTAAGTAGTAAATTCCACCCGCTCATCTCTATCTACCCTCCCTCCGTCTTCTTCTTCATCAGTCTTTTCACTGGGACACTAACACCAGCTCAAAATATGGGTTTCAGGGCCAGCCCAATAGGGGGACAAAGTGTCCGCCCGGGCCGGGCCCAAGATTTTAAGGGGCACAAAATTATTAGTTTTAAATTATTATATATATACCTACTGGCCCAATCCACAATCCACCCCATTTAAGGCCGGCCTAATCCACTCGGCTTACTTACTCTACCAGGTAGACAAAAAAAAAGAATCCATAGAGACGCGAAGCCTATAGCCGAACTGTCGAGTGCCGAAGAAGCGGAAGAGCCGAAGAAATACGTCGCCTCCAGCAGACGACACCGCCGGACGCCGACCTCTACCCTCCACGTATTCCTTATTCAATTATTCATAGCTTTCCAATTTTATAATTTTTATTTCTTAATTTTCTTTCATTGTTTGATTTTATAGATTTAAAATCTAGGGTTAATTATTAGTTTTTAATTTGAAATCTTTTCTAATTTCATTCTTTGAAATAGAATGAATTTATGGTTCTATATGTTATTTATTTGATTTGGATGAATTGATTTGAATTTGTTATTTATGATATATTTATATAAAAAAACTGAAAACCGAAAAAAAAATTAAAAACTGATAAACATGACGAATTGATATGAATTTATGATTTATAAAAAAAATATAACTAAAAAATTAAAAAATATTTTTTAAAAAAAAGAAAAATTGACAAATTGGTAATATATTTATTTATTTGCTTGCTTTTTCAGTTTTTCATATTTGATTTTACTAAGGTAACTAAGTAGTAAAATTTATGAATTTGGATTTTATTTCAGAAATAATTCAATAGTTATGGCTCCTAAACAATTATTTAGTAATCAAAAAAGAAAAAAGAGAAAACGATCATTAAAGATAAGATTTTTAGGGATTTTTTTAAGGCCTTTGTTTGATAGGATAAGATTTTCAGGGCTTTTTTTCTGTGTTTCTACCCAGGGCATATGTATTCTCGGTACCCGCCCTGATGGGTTTGCAGCACTCTTATTCAACAATGCTTAGACTATGCTGCGGTCTATCGCCTTCTGCGTCGAAACTCTTATCCCTCCCAACTTGCCGATTCGCGAGGGTGAAGTTTTTTCGGATTAGGGCGTTTGGAACGGCGGCCCCTGCCGCCGCTGAGAAGAACGGCGGCGACATCTTCTTCGCGGAGGATGACGTTTCCTGGAAGTCGCTCGGCGTTTCTGACCGCCTATCTCGGTCTTTATCTAGTATTGGCTTTCAGAGGCCATCTCTGGTTCAGGTGCGCAGCTTATTTCGCATAAAATTGATTATTTGAGTATTTAGAAACATAAAATTGATTGGGAAAATAAGCTATGAAAGAAGCGTCGATTAAAGATTAGTTTTTTTTTTTGGATTAGTTAGGAACCCCTTAATTTATTTACCCTAGCATTGGAAGTTCTTACCGAGCATATCCAAGAACACGTACCATGGTGCATGTTTTTTGCCGATGACCGCGAATCACGAGAGGATTTGAATGGAAAGTTGGATTCGTGGAGACAGGCTTTGGAGTTGCATGGATTGCGTATAAGTCGCACTAAAACAGAGTATATGATGTGCAAGTTTAGCAACAGAAGGAGAAATAGTAACGTCAGGTGAAAGTCGGAGAAAATACTATACCACAAGTAAAGAGATTTAAATATCTTGGGTGTATCATTCAAGACAATGGAGAAATAGAGGGTGATGTTAACCACAGGATTCAAGCCGGTTGGTCAAAATGGCGGAGTGCTTCGGGTTTTATATGTGACAAAAAAGTACCTTTAAAACTAAAGGGAAAATTCTACCGTACTGCGATTAGACCAGCTATGTTGTATGGAACAGAGTGTTGGGTAGCAAAGGGTGAACATGAACACAAGATTAGTGTGGCCGAAACGAAGATGCTTCGATGGATGAGCGGTCATACGCGTTTGGATAGAATAAGGAATGAAGATATGCGAGCTAAAGTTGGAGTGGCACCTATTGTAGAGAAAATGGTGGAAACTCGTCTTAGGTGGTTTGGACATGTGGAGAGAAGACCAATAAAACATCCGGTGAGAAAGGTTGATCAGATGGTGAATAGACATGTGGCTAGGGGAAGAGGTAGACCTAAGAAGACTTGGCTCGAAGTAGTTAAGGGGGACCTTCGCGTGAATGATCTCACTACATATATGGTATATGACAGGGTGCAATGGCGTCGTTTGATCCATGTAGCCGACCTCACCTAGTGGGATAAGGCTTTGTTGTTGTTGTAGTTAGGAACCCCTTAAACCTAATTGTATGGAATTTGCAGTGCAGATACTACATAATGAAATTCATTTGAGGTAGAAGTGGGAACTTTTATTTGGACAATGCTAATATGCTATTATATCTTATATTCTTTATACTGAGCTACTTAGGGAATGTTTAGATCCCGGAAAATGCTAGGGAAAGGGGGAAATTCTGAGGAAAATTATTTTCATGTGTATCTTTTTACATAGAAATAGACAAAAGAGCTTATATTAACATAAACCAATAAAATGAGTTTGAATAAATATCTGATACAAAATGAGTATGGGCCCGTTTGGGAATAACGTTTTCGATTAGCGTTAGCATTTTGGATAAAATTTTAGTGGTGCAAACTAACTTTTAAAAACGCCAATGCTAACCTCTAACGCTATTCCCAAATAGGCCCTATATATTTCCCAGGCTTTAGGATAGTTTTGGTTTTGAAACCAATTGTGTGTAGTTGCAGGCTTGCAGCTATCACCAACTATTACAGTTCCAAGTCTATGTTCAGTTCTAACTATATCGTACCTGTTTCGTGCTTCGACACCATTTTATTACCTTAAAAATTGCATCTTTTGTTAAAACAAGCATTTCTACAGGCTGCTTGCATACCAAATATACTGTCTGGAGCTGATGTCGTGGTTGCTGCCGAGACTGGTAGTGGCAAAACCCATGGATACTTGGTTCCATTGATCGATAAGCTTTCTGAAAGTGGCGGTATATCAGGAGGGGAAGGTCTGTTGGAGAGGAAAGCAACAAAGTCCCGTCAACTTTCTCTTGTTCTATGTCCAAATGTCATGCTGTGCGAGCAAGTGGTCAGAATGGCTAACTGTCTTTGTAACAATAGTGGCGAGCCATTCCTCAAGGTTGCTGCTGTTTGTGGCCGACAGGTACTCTTATTACCAAAAAAAAGAATCTTAAAAGCCATGTTTGGAGCTCAAAGAATGCCAGGTAAAGAAAATATTGGTCTTGCTTTATTGTATGCATAAAGTGTTTAAACATCAATGCAGACATGGCCAGTGAAAGAACCAGATGTAATGGTGTCAACGCCCGCTGCAATTTTGAATTATATTCACACAGTTGACTCAGAGAATGGTCACCGCTCTGATTTTATACGTAGCTTGACACATGTGGTAAATTTTCTTCCAATAGAAATCGATCAAAGATCAGTTTATTTAAGATACCTCTGGTTTGAATGTCGTCTCTTAGCCTGATCATTCAATTAACACCAGGTTTTTGATGAGGCAGACATGCTTCTTTGTGGCAGTTTCCAAAACCAAGTCATTCGACTCATAAATATGCTTCGTTTTGATGAAAAGCAACTGTCCCATTTAAGCAATCATGAAGCTGAGATGCTGACCAGGCGGAGTCCTGATTCTCCTTTTGGCTGTGACCAAGAGGATGTCAATGGGGACTCGCTAGAAGATTGCAACGACAAAGTTGATGATGTCGAAGATGATTCAAGCGCAACAGAATCAGAAGTTGATTGCAAGGTTGCCAAGAGAACAGATTGGCGAAGAGTGAGAAAAACATATGAGAGAAGTAAGCAGTATATTTTTGTTGCTGCAACACTTCCTGTGAATGGGAAGAAAACTGCCGGAGGAGTTTTAACACGGATGTTTCCTTATGCATGCTGGGTCAGTGGAAACTACCTCCATTGCCACAACCCAAGGTGCCTTTTCATCTAGTAAATTTTTCCCCCATTTTATTGTTGAAGTTTAAAGTCCACGTCCTTTGTAGCTAAAAGAATCATTTTTATGATATTTTAGCGTCAGAAGAAATCACTGCATGTATATCTTCTCTTGCTTCTTACTTTCTAAGAAGTTTTTTGAAGTAAATACAACAATGCATCATGGGTCTAATGGAAATAGCCTCTGCATAAATCTTGACCCTCCAGACCCCAATGAAGTTGAAAATATATTGAGTTTGTTATTGTATGGGTAGAAGCAGATGTCTCTGAAGTCTGAATAGTTGTAACACCATTGTTCTAAGTGTAGCTTCTTAAGGCGTATTGTAATGAAATGTCATTCATTTTGAACAAAAGCCATTATTTGATGAACCGGCATTTTGCACCCTCCCAGGTTGAAGCAGAAGTGGATTGAAGTTACAACAGACACACAGGCCGATGCTTTAATAGATTCTGTGAAAAATGGAACCCAATCCTCTGGAACACTTAGAACCATGGTGTTTGCAAACACTGTTGAAGCCGTGGAAGCTGTAGCCAAGATCTTGACGCGGGTTGGGATCGAGTGTTTCTGCTACCACCGTAATTGTTCCCTGGAGGAGCGCGCAGAAAAGCTAGCTGGCTTCCAACAGAGAGGCGGTGTTTTTGTTTGCACAGATGCTGCTGCCCGCGGTCTCGACGTTCCTAATGTTTCTCACGTTATTCAGGTATTTTTTTCGCGAAGTTGGGCTTATGATCTTGGGTTATTCTGCGTACTCTTTCTGGGGTATGGTACCCCTGGTTCAATGTATTCACTATTAATTCCATTGTGGACTTTTAACACTATGTTTGGTTCAAGGAATTTTGAAGGAAAAGAAAAGAAAATGGTTTTCTCACATTTTCATCACCAAAATGGGAGGAATTTGGTTTTCCCTCCACTTGGTAGATTTTGCCTTCTCACTCTCTTTTCCTTCCACTTTTCCTTTCTAACCAAACAAGAAAACTTGTTTTCCACTTCATTTTCTTTTCTTTTCTCTTTTGAATTCCTTGAACCAAACATAGTGTAAATGTGGTTGTCCCAACACATACATCATGTTTGGTTCAAGAAATTTGGAAGTAAAATAAAAAGAATTGATCTTCTCTCATTTTCCTCACCAAAATGAGAGGAATTTGGGTTTCCCTCGTTTCAGTACATTTCGTCTTCCAATTTTCTTTTCTTTTTCTCTCCAACCAAACTAGAAAACTCGTTTCCCTCTCATATTTCAAATTCCTTGAATCAAGCATTGCAAGAGTGGGTCTTGTGTGGAAATCTTGATTGCATTAGAAATGTGAGAGGGTTTTCGTTCTTCTTCCCATTAACTCTTAGCTTCGGATTTGAGATTTTTTTAAAAAAATGTCATCTTTTTTCTACTCGATGACAGGCAGAATTTGCAACATCTGCTGTAGATTTCTTGCATAGGGTGGGTCGTACTGCTAGAGCCGGACAACCTGGGCTTGTGACCAGTCTCTATACTGAATCTAACCGGGATCTTGTGGCTGCTGTTCGTCGAGCCGAAAACACGGGTGAACCAGTGGTAAGAGCCCTTTACAGTTACATTTAAAAACATCACTCAATTTCATGTCCAACCAAACCAAAACCAAAACCAATCTTTCCCCCATTTGATCTTTTTGCTATTGTAATGTGGGTGCAGGAAAAGGCCTTTAGTCGAAAGCGAAGCTTCAGAAATAAACTTAAGAAGAGAGGTAATATGAATGACTAAACCCTCCCACACATCCTTTCAGTGAGTTTTATATGCTTTGGGAGACATTGTTTGTGCTCTTAGCTTAGGGTCTGTTTGGGGAGAGCGGAAAATTTCTCATTTTTCGGTGTTTGGTTGTTTCGTAAAGTAAAGAAAGATGATCGATTCCCATCACGATTTATTATCTTATAAGCAAAGAAAATATTAATTTCATACTATTTTTCCAAAATTTCAACCATACACCAGAAAATGAACTTATTTTCCCTCCAGAAAAACCATTTCTCCATCTTTCCAAACGAATCCTTAGTTTAATACTCTTCATTTCCATAACACATATCGTCATATGACAGGTTCCATCAACAAGAGTGTAGCTGAAGAAGAGCCTCTTCTCTCATTATGACAACAAAACAAAACAAAAACAAACAAACACAGAGGTAAGAATCTCTAATACACTCACAACACACAGACACTTACATGAATGATTGGTCAACAGCAGCAACAAGAAGAGAGAAAGAGAGTTGCTACTTTTATTATAGGGTAGCAGGCAGAAGAAGAAGAAGAGGGGGGGGGGGGGGATTGTAGGGTAGGGGTCCCCCCTGGGNCCCTGGGAGTTAAGGGCACTTGGGCTTGTTGCCATGAGTGGTCATGTCGGTGTAGCACTTGCCGCAGAGGTGGCGGTTGCCAAAGGTGCCAGGTGGGACGCACTTGCACCTGGTGCAGCAGGTCCCACATGCTCTGCTGCACACATTTGGCCTTGAATGCGCGCTGCACCTCATCTTGCACAGCCCTCCACAATCTGCACACCCCCCCCCCCCATTTCAACAATCAAACAAACAAGTCCATTTTCTTTTCTTTCCCTTTTTTCCTTGTCTGTAATTTTAAAGTCTAGTTTGATATGATTTTCTTTTAATTTAAAACTAGAACTTTTTCTTTTGCAATCTACGTTTAACACTAATAAATCTATTATAATGTAGTATCTGTTCGTGTATTTGCTTTTTTTTTTCTTTCTTTGTCTGCAGGATTGTATGGACTGTGAGTTTCAGCTCTGTATTTACATTTGTACTTTTGTGTTTGTAGATTAAATAATTGAAATTCTTGTTGATGTTTAATCGAAATTATTCTTTCAATTTATTTAAAAATTGATGAGTAATTTTTTTGGGACTGAGGGAATAATTTTTTTAAAGCATAAAATGAGCATAAAATATACTCCCTCCGTTTGGAAAAACTCTTCCCATTTGATTTGGGGGAAAAAATAAGAAAGTGTTAAAATTATAGTTGATTTCCAATTTTGCCCCTGATGTGATGGGTAAAAGTAAGATGTGATGGATAGATTATTAGAGAAAAAGTATGATGTGATAGGTAGGGTATGAAAAAGTAAGGGTAAAAGTGGTTTTTTAATAGAAAGGGGAAGTGTTTTGTTGGAAGTAGAAAAAATAAAAGAGGAAGTGTTTTTGAGAACGGAGGGCAGTAGAATTTGAGAGACAAAATACAAATGAAACGAGAAGTAATTGAAACCTTACCGAGGAAAGGTAAGAGCCTTCTATTGGGTCCCTTGACAACCTGGCCGGATCGTTCCAATTGTCAGTTTTTTTTTTTTTAATTGCAGAGGGATATACATCTCTATTATTGCTATATTATTCTTTTGTCCTGATTTATTTGTCTAGCTGTTAAGGTTAGAAAAAATTGTCCAATTTTCATATTTTAAAAGATAAAATTGTATGAATTGTCCAACATATATATCCATGTGGAAACATTGAGTACATATAGTGACTACTAATTGGAGTTGTCAAAAACAATTTAAGAAAAAATTGGATTTGAATTATTGTGAGTAAGGAAAATGAGCCAAATGAGAAGGGAATTGAAGTTAACAAAATGCATGTGGAAAACCAAATTAAAACAGAAGACAAATTAAATCAAACCCGAGTTTGAGAGAAGGCCTCTTCCTCATCAAGTTCAACTACTACATCACATGAAACCTGCATGGAGTAATGCCAATCATATCTACTTCCTTATATATCGTTTGACCATGCAAATAATATATGACACTGTACATATGCATGATTGGCAATGTAAATGCATTTTAACTCCTATTTAAAGAATGAAAATATGAAATTTTTTTCAATATTTTATTCTTACATTAGTCTTTTTTACTGAATTGAATACAACGAAAGTCTACATTTATTCCTTTTTTCATTTTTAAGTACGAAATCTGCAAGATTAAACTTGTAGGTATAGTACCTGAGAGAGACAGATGAGAAAGAAGAAGGTGAGCAGAAGCAGGAAGCGAGGAGACAACAACATTTTATGTGTTTCAGAAGCAGAGATTGCTAGGTAGCTAGCTAGCTGGCTAGGAATATATATAATGATATGGCTACCAAACTATATTAGCTTGAGAGTATTTATTTTGATTTCTCTCTCTCTCTCTATATATATAGAAGGAAGGTCCTTGAATTATTGCTGCATGCAAGTTGGTGTTTATATATAGTACACTACTTTGAAGGCTGGTTGTTACCAGAGATTATGAGCCACCTAAGCCTTTCCTTTTGATGTACCCTCACTTTTTTTCTATATTTTTCGTTACACAATCTATAAAATAGTCATCAAAAAATTGTACTCCCTCCGTTTGCAAAAAAGGTTTCTATTTTGACTTGGAGCCAAAATAAGGAAGTATAAAATTATAGTTGACTTCCAATTTTGCCCCTGATGTGATGGGTAAATGTAAGATGTGATGGATTGATTATTAGAAAAAAAGTATGATGTGATAGGTAGGGTATGAAAAAGTAAGGGTAAAAGTGGTTTTTTAATAGAAAGAGGAAGTGTTTTGTTGGAAGTGAAAAAAATGAAAGAGGAAGTGTTTTAAAAAACGGAGGAAGTATGTAATTTTTGAATATGTAAATTTTATTTTTCATTATGCACCAAATTCCAAATAAGTTGTATTCAAATAATTTTGATCAAAAATCGTAAACCAAAACAGGTAATTTCAATAGAAACATGAAAGTAGTCCTTCAACCCAGAATGCCCCTAGTTTTTTTTTTCAATTTACACCCCTCTCATGTAATATTTCTAATGAATTTAAAATTTTAGTGTTACTTTCTAATGATCTCCTTGCTATACTCTGTATTATGATAGAATAAGATATAATGAATATATTATTAATGAATAAATATGATGTCATAGTCAGTTTTGTGCTTCATAATTGTAATCGAAAGTAGAGGTGAAATAGAGAATATGAATGTGATGGGTAGTTTTATCGGTGTTCGGAAAGCGTGCAAAATTTTATCACTTTTAACATTATTTTAAATGAAATTTGATATAGAAAATAAAAGTATATATTATATCGTTAAAAAATGCATCAAAATTTCTACAAAACAAAAATTTAAAAGAATACTTTATTTTGTTAAATGATCAAGAGAGTATTTTGGGACAAGGGGAGTATTTTGCATGGATTTTTTTTTAAATTTTAAAATAACATTACTTTCACTATGAAGAATTATTAAACCTCCTATTGACTGAGTTTTTTTATTACTTCCTCTTTCCGAAAATAATTGCCACATTTACTTTTTCAACAGTCACGTAAATTTTTGTTTATGTGTACGTTTTCATTTGTTATTTGAAAAAAATAAAATATTCTTGGCACCTCTTATTTTGAAAAACTTTTCATGTAGCTTTTAAATATGTATGTAAACTCTATTTTTTATTTCTATAACAATATTTAAATAAAATAATTTGCAAAAACTTAAAATTTTAGTTCGTTTTTAGAAGTAAAACATTTAGAAAAGTTGTCCCTAATTAAATCATTTGCGGAGTTGGAAGGAAGTAGGGTCATGTTATCTCTGGCGCTGTCTATTCTTGCTATAGACAGTTTCTGAATTAGAGACAGACGGCATTCTGTTAAGTTAGTCCTTGACATCTGACAGAACCAAGCCCATTTAATGACATCCATTTTATAAATGGGCCGCGGCTTGATATTGATCAAGTCCATGTAGTAGTCCAGTTTATATGCCCACCCCGGATGCCAGTCATGCCACTGTACAAAATGTTGTGATTTGCATCCATTGGGAAACCTGAGAGCCCAATAACAATCCAATTTGCTAGTGGGTAATTCTTAACAGCCCAAAATATCTCACGTGAGAAATCCCTTTCTTATTTTTCTTTGTTGATTCATAAATTGTTCCTCCTTCTCAAATTAAACCTTCTATTTCCGTTTAAAACATTTGTTTAAAATTATTTCTACTTCAATTTATTTAAGAATTTGAATAGATTTTAAAAATAGAAATTACATCAAAGGTTTTACGAAACAAGAGATGGCATGATTTTATTATTTTATCAAATCATATTTTGGAAATGTTCGATATAATAAATCTAAAAAGCTATTTTTATATCAATATCTAATATCATTTTTATTTAATTTGACGTCAAAGATTACTAAGTTTGATTGAAAAATCAAAAGTAGACAAATACTTAAAAACGGAGGAAGTACATAGATTAAATGTATATATTATATATTTAAAATTTAAATAAAAAACATGCCAAAAATAAAAAAACTAGTGGAGAATAAAAACGTGGGGGCACTTTATTTAATACGGAGTAAATACAAATGTGATTCACTTAACCCACACACCAAATTAATTAACCAATACAACCGCCGGGCGTGGCGGTGGTGGTGTTCAAGAGGTAAGTATAAGCGAACATGGCGTGAATGGCCGACCCAATCGGAAGAACGCTCTCGTCGATGCTAAAGTAAGGGCTGTGGGGCCGGGACGGCGACCCCGTTCCGAGAACGAAGAACGTGCCCGGGATCCTGTCCAAGTACATTCCGAAATCCTCGCTCCCCATGGCCCTCCTGGCGTACTCCACATTCTCTTCTCCCACGACCATCCTCGACGCCCTCAACCCGTGCTCGTAAATCCTCTTGTCGTTTAAGGTTGGCGGCAATGTCGGCACCAGGTCCGGGTTTCCCGTACCGTCAAAGTCAACCTCAGCCGTGCACCTGTGCACGGTTGCTTGAGCTTTCACAATCTACAATACATTTATAAGTATATATTGTTGTGGTACTCTTTGAGAAATAAGTAGTAATGAAAATATACTAAGGTTCAAGTGACATTAGATGGCAATGTCATGAGATGACTCAAGAGGCGCTCTGGTGCCTCGTTCGTAAAATTGAAGATTCTTACCCCCTAATCCCCTTGGTAAACCCTCCACCTGGCCCCGACCCGAACACACTCCCCACCCCCTTCAATTGCACCCCACAAGTTGATTTTGATTTTGGAGGCAATTTTTTACTCCAAAGTCAAAATCAACTTGTGGGGTGCAATTGAAGGAAGGGGATAGGGAGTGTGTTCGAGTCGGGGCCGGGTGGGGGGTTTACCAGGGGATTAAAAGAGGTAGGAACCATCAATTGTACGAACGGGGCACCGAAGCACCCCGGGTCATCCCATGACATTACCGTTCAATGTCATTTGAACATTCCCCGATTAAGATATTCACAAGTCATGCGTGGAGTGACTTTATTTTTAGCTAATAATTACCTCCTCAATTCGCTTTCTTAAGGAGTAGAAGTGGTCTTTGTTGAATGCTCGATAAGTTCCCGTGATCGTGGCCGAGTCAGGAATAACATTAAAAGCAGATCCTCCTTGAATCTGGCTTACTGACACCACCTAATTAGTTTAACATTAATTAATTAGTAATTAAGGGAAACATAATTAATGAAACGGGAAAATAAAAGAGAATAATTAATGGAATGATATATAATAACCTTGGAGTCAAAAGGGTCGGTTTCCCGCGAAACAATCGTTTGGAGGCTCATAACGGAAGCAGATGCGGCCAAGATTGGATCAATGGTTTCTTGTGGGAGGGCGGCATGGCCGCCCTTCCCTTTGATGGTGGCCTGGAAGATCCCACAACCGGCGAGAAATTCCCCTAGCCGGGAAGCCACCACGCCGGCGGGGTAATCATGGCTCACATGGAGCCCAAATATGGCCTCTACATTGTCGATAACCCCTTCTTTAATCATGTCTCTTGCCCCTTTCCCTCGCTCTTCCGCGGGTTGAAATATAAGCACAACGGTCCCCTGATTTTACAGTCAAATATCACCGGGTCACACTAATCATTTAAATGTAACATAACGGCCTTGTTTCGAAAGAGTGTTTTCAAATAGCGTTAGCGTTTTGGATAAAATTTTAACGGTGTAAATTAACTCTAAAAATGCTAATGCTAAAGACTACCGTCAGATAGCATTTTCAAAAAGCTAACGCCAATGAATGAGTTGATTATTACCTGTAATTCTTGTCTAAGTTGATGAAGAATTTTAGCAGCACCAAGGAGCATGGCAGTGTGGGCATCGTGCCCACAAGCATGCATCTTCCCATCTACTTCACTCTTGTGGTCCCAATCCACCATTTCCTGCATATACAACCATAATTAGTTAAGTGGTCCCTTGATTTCTATCAAGGTTTTTCATGTGTTTCATAAAAAAAACTTAGTTTTGATTTTTTTTGTTAAATAATGATATTCTTTGATCACAAATTAAACATGATTTGAATATTTGATATATCAAAATTTCATTTTAAGATAAACTCAATTATGTTAAATTTATATTATACTCCGTAATAAAATATACTTTTCTCATAATTTATAGTAAAAAATGTTACTGTTTAACAAAAAAATTAAAACACAAAAGGATTTTAGAACCGGAGGGAGTAAGAGTCTAGAAAGTAGAACTAAGGTCGTATTCTCTTCACCTGATAGAATTTAGGATGGGTATGGACAATTGGAATGGGCAATAAGACACTTGGGTTGAACCACATTAAAAGATTGAATCCAATCGATTAGTTAGTCCAACTCAAGAGCTTATATACCGGTTGTTTTACTCTTGAACTTCCGATGTGGGATGCACTCTAACACACCCCCTCAAGTGGACAGCCGGGCCATTTTGAATCTAACCGGTTGACCACTTGCAAATGAACTCCCATTCCCTTGACTTTTTTTTTTGAGCGCCAACACCTAAAGGACCACGAGCCGCTGGGTATGGACTTCCAGACGAGCAATCGTGTTAAACAGGCCACAGGCCATTGGGCTAAAGACTAACGGGCCGCTAGGAATGAACATCTAGACGGACACCTTGACAAACGAGGTGGGCTAAAACTGGCTCTGATACCATGATAAATTTAAGATGGAGTATGGACAACTAGATTGGGCAATAAGACACTTGGGTTGAACCACATTAAAAGATTGAATCCAATCGATTAGTTAGTCCAACTCAAGAGCTTATATACCGGTTGTTTTACTCTTGAACTTCCGATGTGGGATGCACTCTAACATCACCTGATCTAATTAATTTTGAGCTAATTGAAATAAGTTTTAATATGATCTGAGATCATCTGAATATAGTTATTTTTAAATATATTTCTTATCTGATATGGTCTAATCTGATCTGGTAATGATCTGGTTTGACTCCAATAAAGATAAGTAATACTCCGTAAAAAAATAAATTGAGAAGGACATAATCAAGTGTCCCTTAAATTTTAATTATACCAGTAATTTTTAAAAATACTCCGTATTATTTAAACTTTGGGGACGGCTCCGCAGACATGAGTCCCCATATGTCATCTAAAGTCTAAACCGTTAGTCCAATTAAAAATGTTACTGAGTATTACGGAGTACTCCGTAGCAAACAAGTTCAATTTGTTTTGGAGCGCAGTTCAAAATTAATTAACCATGAAAAATGCATCAAACATCGTTTTAGACAATATAAGAAATTTGCAAATTAAGCATAAATCCATGATTCAAAAACTAGTGTGTGGGGTGATCAGTGATCACCATAATAATACTCAGTAATTAATAATCGTAAATAATAAAAAAAGACCTGTATTGGCAAGGCATCCATGTCCGCCCGGAGAGCGACAAACGGCGGAGAACCGGAACCAATTGAGGCAACGACGCCGGTCTTCGCCACCGGCCACCGGTACTCCACCCCCAAGTTGTCCAACTCCCGCCGGACGAGCGCGCTGGTGGCGAATTCCTCGAAAGCCAGCTCCGGGTTCCTGTGAATTTCCCTCCGTACCCTTGTAATCCACTCCGCCGTCCCTGTTTCATTCGCCAAGCCCATTATGCGCTCCTTCAAACTCCCGTTCAAGCCCGAGGGGCATTTTGGGCATTCCTCGACGCTGCCGCCGGAACAAACCTGGAAAATTAATATAACAAGCACCGCCGCCGCCGGACCACCCTTCATTATCACTGCGAGATTAATTATGCTCCGGTCCGTTTGAAACTTTGAACCAAGAAGTATCCCATCAAGTAAATGTATGCTCTGTAATTAATTAATTTATCATATGGGAGGGATCCAAATGAGTGAGATTATGAGATCTTTAGTGCACATGTTGAAATACATACAAATGTAGGACTGTATATATAGGAAGAGGATGAAGGTATAATTTATGAAAATATCACAACTTCATTCACTTCGCATTTGTTTTTAATACCCATTTTTATTTTTATTTATTAACTTTGCGTGCCCGATCAGATCGGAAGTTTTTTTTAGAATGGATGGCGTATCAAATACATCTAAAAAAATTATCTCAAATATGAGTAAAACATGCTCGGTAACATTATTTATCTTTAAAATATGAGTTCGATATTTTTGTCTCCAAATCATGAGTTTGTACTTTCACATTATATCACTGTATTGGCATCCCACTATATTTTTGGTACTATATATTAACAATTTTAGCATAGTACTTTTTGATACTTTTTACATAGGGCATGTTTGGGAATAACGTTAGCGATTAGCGTTAGCGTTCTGAAAAGGCTATTTACGGGCAGCGTTTAGTGTTATCATTTTCAAAAGGTAATCTACACCGTTAAAATTTTATCCAAAACACTAACGCTAATCTCTAAAGCTATTTTCAAACAGACCATAATTTACTCATAGTTTAGTCATATTCCTGTATTATTACGCTTTTCTCTTATGTCCAAACGTAATTCTTACTTTCCTAATCCCCACAAACCCCTTTGTCCATGTTAGAATATAAATAACTGTTCCTGGGCCACAACCACAAGCTTAAGCTTTTGGTTGAGTTGGTTCCTTGACATGGTATCAGAGCCTCGTTGACTAAGAGGTCACGGGTTCGAAACTCAGCGCCACCCAGTTTTAAAAAAAATTAAGATTTCACGTGCAAGGCTCGAAAAAGACTGCGCCTGCACGTGAGGGGGCGTGTTAGAATATAAATAACTGTTCCTGGGCCACAACCACAAGCTTGAGCTTTTGGTTGAGTTGGTTCCTTGACAGTCCAATTCCCCACCATATTTGGCCTAACTGCATGTGCACCGTGGTAACCATTTTGAGCTCAAATTAATGGTAACCACATAGCGTGATAGTTGATTAAAATTAGATTTTTCTATAGATAACAAAATTACACTAGTGAAATCTTGACTGTTAATTATTTTGCACTAAAATTGTAAAATACGGGGTATGGATTATTTTTTCTCACTTAAGCTAGCCTAACTTTCAAGTTAAATAATACAGACTTAACAATTCCAATTAAATGCATAATCAATGAAGTTGAGTCCAATGCTACACTTAAAAAGAATTTCTTATACAAACAAATTAGATAACAAAAAATAACACCCAAAAAAACTTGTTTATTTTGACATTCGCTATTAGTGTGGCAAATTTTTTGATGGACCTAAGGTCCACTATGGACCTACATATAAGTAAAATAAGTGCTTCTTTACTACTTAAATAAACATGCATTTTTTTAATAAAAAAAAGTAAAAAATAGATTTTTTATGTGACCAGTTCCACAAAAATAATATACATCGAATGTGAACCAAAGAAAGACTCCATATTTTAAGACTCAGCTCAAATTAGGACCCTTATGTACAATACTCCATTTAAAACTAGTGATACATACTCACAACTACCCATTCCCCCAATAGGCGAACAAGTGGGCTAGGTGGGAGGTAGGATGGTTGAGGATAGACGTACTGACGTAGTATAAAAAACAAACCCATCCAAAAATGTTTTTCCTATTTTTATTTCTTGGTTAAAATTTGTAAATTTTTGCTCCGATATGTGGAAAATATATATTGTATTCTGACATAACTTTAATATCAATATATTTCTATTTATCAAATTTCAAATTTTTATAAAATATAATTATGTATAAATAAAGACATTAGTGGTCAACGTGCAATCTTGGAGACCGTGAAAAAGTTAAGTGAAAGAACATTTCCAGATGACTGGAGTATAAATTTTGCGATCATATCAAAGCACTCTAAGGTTTTCAAATTGGACGAATGTTACAATATACTCCCCATGTCTCACTTTATATATTCCTTTTGTTTAGAAAAAATTTGCAAAATATTACTCCCTCCGTCCCGCTATATTCGTCCACTTTTGACTTTTGGAACAGTTCATCTAAGTACTTTGACTCATCAAATTTTCTCAATGTGTAAGCCTAAATATAGTCATGTGTGATTTTGTTTGATTTGTCTTAACATATAGATTATTAATATATAATTTCTATAATTTTTTAATATACAAATTACAAGATAAAATGGATTAAAGAAGTGTATTATATTGGATGGTGTGTAAAAATAAAAATGGACAAATACTCTGGGACGAAGGTAGTATCTCTTTTAAAATAATTTTATTTAGAAATTAGTACAGAAATTAAAGTTACAAATAACGCCATTCAAAACTATATTAAGAAAAGCTACAAAACAATGGGTGATAAGATTATTTTATGAAATGATCAACGAAAACATACAAATATAAGTTCTTGAAAATCTATAACAATATATAGATAAGATTAATTTGAGACAAGAAGAGTAACTTTCAAGAAGAGCGTTAAAATAACTTAACCGACTTCATATTAAAATTCAGGTGTTACTAATTAACTTTTTTTAACTGTATCAACTTTTATCTTTTTTTCAGGTGAGGTTTCACACTCTTGTGAGATATTTTTATTAGAATATAAAAAAAATCGTAGACTTACAATCACAAGTACAAGCTTTTGGTTATGTGGGTTCATTGATATGATATTAGAATATTGTTGACGTAGAAGTCAAAATTCAAAATTAATTGCCGCCTAATTTAAACAACTAAGAGCAAAAGTTCAAAACAATTACATTTGCCAATTTTTTATTTTTGATTGAGTTGATTTCTTAACAATTATTGATGAAATTATTGATGAGGACTGTTAACTACTCCTACCATTTTTAAGGTGTCATTTAGTATCAAATTATCAATTCCTTACCTTAATTACGCAGAGGTTGTTGGGGCTATGTTTAGCTCGTGAAGCATATCGGGAGGATTAAAAACGTGTTGAAATGCTGAGCAAGCATTGCGGAATGCCGGTCCCACCAGCCTCATAATTTTCATTAGTCAAAATCAATAAGAATTTAAAGAAAACGCACACAATTCGTAAAGTGTGCTGTTTTTAATAATTTAGCTTCTGCTTTGAGTAGAAGTGATTTTACTCTGTTTGGCATGTCAGCTTCTGATTTTCACTACCACTATTTTGTATATAGAACACCGTTTCGGAGAAGCAGGTATGAGGTGCTTCTGCTTTTTGCTTTTGTGAAAATCACTTTATCCATAAGTTAATCACTCCCAATCACCCTCGTAGTATCTAACTACACAATTCGTAGTATCCAAAAGTTAAAACTGGACGAATACTTTATATAGGCGCACAAATTCTGTGATATAAATATATTATATACTCCCTCCGTTTCTTAAAACCCTTCCTCTTTCATTTTTTTTTTGTTTTTCTTAAAACACTTCCCCTTTCTATTAAAAAACCACTTTTACCCCTACTTTTTCATACCCTACCTATCACATCATATTTTTTCACTAATAACTAAACTATCACATCTTACTTTTACCCATCACATTAATGGCAAAATTGGAAAGTCAAATACAATTTACAATTTAACTCTTCCTTATTTTCTCCCAAAGTTTAAAGAAGAACTCTTTTGAAAAACGGAGGTAGTAGCATTTTTTTTGTGATTTTAAGCTCCTAATTCATTTTAGAACGTACCTTAGAATATAGATATTATAAATGAATTGGTGTTAGACAGTTATAATAATAATTGGATTTATGGTAATATCCATATATTAATTAGTCAGTTACCATATTGAATAATCTTAATTCAACGTGGTATCAAAGCATGATCCATCTTTCTCTTTTTTCTCTCGTTAACATTAAAACAATCCTAATACCCGATTAGTTTTTTGGCCCTTGCCCATTATTTTTGTCTATTCATAAAGCAAATGGTTCCTTTAGGCCAAAATTTGGGACGATTTTTTTGTTATATATCCTACGAGTATTATTTTTGTTTTAGACCATACTAGATTTCATACCCGTGCGATGCACGGTCAAACGTTTACAAAATATTTTAATATTTATATGTTAAGAGTATCTTTGGTGAAGAAAATGGTGGAAAAATGTTGATGCAGCATGAGAAGAATAACTTTTTTTTTTGAAATATACTCCCTCCGTCCCAATTTAAAATGTCTGATTCAATTTATGGTGTTTGACTAAAATTGGGACGAAGGAAGTATAAACAAATTAAATGAAGGAAAATAATAAGTTTGAATTCACTCACATACAAAATTGTTTAAAGAGAAAAAACCTTTTTATTTTTAAAAAAGGATCAAAATTGCAAAAAAAGTGGAAGAACAAACAAAAACCAATATAGAAAAAAGAAAGTAAAAACCAAAAAAGATCAAAGAAACACCCAAGAAAAATGCGCTCGAGTCTTAATGGTTGAGATCTCATAAAAGTACACATCTAAATAACATTGATTACAAAGCTAGCCACATTCTGCATTCAATGTCAAAATCTAAGCATCATAGCTAGACCTGGCAAAACTGACCCGGACCTGATAACCCGAACCGAATAACCCGGAACCGAACCCGATTTGACCCGAAAACTGAAGAACCGAACACCCAAAATGATCCGATCCGAACCGAACCCGAACCGAATGTATTCAGACCCGATTCAGACCCAAATCCGATTAAACCCGAACCGATTAAACCCGAACCGATTAAACCCGAACCCGGTTAAACCCAAACCCGATTAAACCCGGAACCGATTAGACCCGAACCCGATTAGACCCGAAATTGATCAAATTCATTAATATTTCATTTATCAAATGAATTTGGAGAAAAAGAATTACCTATATATTTTTACATATGTTGATGTGTTTCTAAAAAAAACATATTTAAATTATGAGTGCAAATCATGTAACTACTTTCATGTACAAATCTTTTACTTTGCATTTTATAACTTAAGTTAAAATACTTTTGTATTTTTATAGAAAGTATATAAAAATTATAGTTAACTAAATTAACTAAGTTTATTATGTGATTTATTCATTTATTAGTATGTATGCGTTTACATTATATTTGAACTAATATAAATTTAAACCGATATAAACTCAAATCTATATAAACCCAAATCAATACAACCCGAATTGATACAAACCTGAACCGATATAACCCGAACCGATACAAACCCGAACCGATATAAACCCGAACCGATATAAACCCGAACCGATACAAACCCGAACCGAAACCGAACCGAAACCGAAAACCAATCAAACCGAAATAAACCCGGAACCGAACTGACCCGAACCGAACCGACCAGAACTGATTATAACATATATCCGAAAGAGACCCGAACCGAAAAGACCCGAACCGGAACCGAACCGATTGACCCGATTGCCAGGTCTTCATAGCTATGAAAAGTGAATACCATCAAAACTTGCAATACATAATAACCAATTCAAATGACTTCATGGCTAAAAAAAACCTCATGGACAATTTCATGTATACAATCCGTTCTTATTGCATCATACAAATTAGCACATGTACTAAGAGAAGAAAAGATGATCAAATTAAGATATTCCTCATCTAAGACATCGAAGCAGCATTAGTCTTAAGCTCTTTTGATATGGTTGGTCAGCTTCAACCAAACACTTCAGAGATGTCAAATCCTTGCAACCTGACCTAGTAAGGAATTGGTCATGGATAAATCAGCTGATACATTGCTCAGTTCAATAAGAAAGCAGCACCCTTTTAAAAGTTTACATGTGAAAATTTTGAGTTGGCCACATCTGAATTGATCATTTGTATAAATGTATGAACACATATTTTTTCTTAAAGAGCTGATATTACACCGAAGTTCAAAAAAAATAAAAAAGACAATTCAATTTTACCAAATTAATTATAAACCATCAAAAGTAGCTCATTAGAGGTCATATGATACTTTACACACACGCACTGACACACACATGAATAGTAATTTTTTTAAATTCAAGCAGTTACCTGAAATAACTCAACTACAATAACCCGTGATGTCCTTATGCTTTCCTAAAAAGTCACACGCCTGCAAGAGGAGAGGCAGATATAGTAGGTTTTAATTGGAAAATTCGGGACATTTATGAAGTTTATGTACCTAGTATGAGTTAACCATATAATGAACCTGATCTAAACTCGTGATGGAATTTTTTAGCCAAAACGACATATATGAACATGGTCTAAATAGAATAAATCTTTAACCAAGGCATCTTCCTGTTTGGATGAGTAGTCCACTTTTTGGTGCAAGATGTATGCTCTCTTATTCCTTCACTGTTCCAATATAGTTCTATTGAATATAAAAATAAAGAATATATAATTATGTCCAAAAAAGGGTCCAAGCAAGGATCCTCTGTGAATAACCCTCCATACCCAATTTATGAAATTCTCTAAATTAAAAAAATTACAAAAGAATGGAGAGGGTGCTAGAACTTCTCTAAATCCATCATTCATCTCAGTGTTGTGACTTGTGACACTGTCCAACATGGCAATGCTAGTCTCGAAACCCCAGCACAACCCCAATTTCATTTTGCATTGGCTGCCTACAAAAACTAACTGTGTTTATTTAGAATGTGATTAAGAAAAATGAATTAGTGAAGAATATGTAACATAACTATAAAGTATATTTCTCCAACAGTAGCTTTATGTGTAATTACTAAAGAACTTCAAAATGGTACCTGGCCTAAATATTTAAAACACTTCCACCCAAGAAGTAAGGAGCCATGCTAAGTTTACTAAAGATATATTAACAACAAATAAGTAAAAAATTATTGGGCATGAAGAATGCGGAATGCCAAACTAAAATCTTAGGCATCTATTATGCCTGAGATTTGTCATATAGTGAACTATATGGAACCTAAATCATAACATAAGAGCACTAAAGCTGAGTAATACCATTCCAAGTAGCCATTTCCTTCTCGCTTATATGGAGTATATTTATATGACCTGCATTAAAATAAAAACACTTTAAAAGTTTGAAATTTTATTTAAGAGCATAATAGCTTTAAGTCACCATAGTTGAACTTAATAGCGAGCTAAAAAAGACTATTGGTTTAAGTCACCATAGTTGAACTTAATAGCGAGCTTTACGCCACCATTCCTCTCCTAATAAAAAAGACCTATTTTCTCTAGTTGTGGTGTTTATGGAAAGGAAAGATTCCACCAAGCAGTTTTTGGAAAGTTATTGGTTTATTTTCGCAATAATCCACTAATAAATGATAAGTGATAACATAAAAGGATAATGAAGAAATTAATTCTATTCAATGAAAATGACATTACCCCCTCCTTAGGTGATAGGATATAAAATATGTGGCGGATGAGGGTGACGCCATCGCATGGTTGCTAAGAAAATTGAAATGCTATTCTGACTGCAAATGTGTTTGGACCACATTTTCTCTAAAAAGTAAAAAAAAAATCAAAGTAGCACATGAAACTCATTGTCTCAAATAAATTGATCAGAAAGCATTTTACCTTCAATTGCTATTTGGTTCTCCAAAAAGCATGTTAAAAAGCAAATTCAAAATCCCAATCAAAAACTCAGCATTCAACATCTGTCAAAGTATCAATAACCTATCCCAACTACTATATAATTGTAAATTAACAACCATATGATTATGCTCTCTCTAAAAAAAGATGGGATACAGTGCAGCTTATTTAAAAGTTCAATAAATTTAAAGGAATCCCTCAAAAATATAAACACAAAACTAAAAGGTCAAAACTGAGTTGACTTTCAAGAAATCTTGATTGAATTGAAAAACCCAACACCAGATTCTAAAAGAGCATAGCCAATAGCCCACAATCCATCAAAAAATTCAACCAAAACGAAACAAAAAAGAGGTCGATTCGAACCTGGAGTATCTCGAGTGAACAGTAACCGTGAGGCTGAATTCCTTCAATTTCAGCTCAATCCACCAGCGAAGAGCTCGGATATTGGAAGGCCTAGTGAAAATGATTCCATAGCACCAAGAAACAACAAAAAATGAACCACAATCTATTATTTTTTTTATTTTTGTACGAAGTAATAAAAAGAGAAACACTGAAGAAGAAGCTTACTGGTATCTGGCGATTGATGAGCAGCGGCTGACATTAGAGGTCGAAGAGCAGAATTTTTTGACAAAACCCTATAAAAAAGGCAGTAGCAACCTCTGGCGTAGAGTTTAACCCGGCGATTTTGAGAAGTGAATCGTAGAAAGGAAGCCCGAGCAGCTTACCCGGTGCACGCGTCTCTGAAAAGGCAAAAGGAAAGATTTATTAAATCTTCTTAATAAATGCATACTGGACTTAGGGAGATGTGTTTGATTGGATGGCGTGTGGCTCTATGTACCCTTTAATAGCCTGCCAATGGGTTAAACTATACGGAAGAGGTACACTTTATAGCCTGCAATTAATAGACCTCATAGGCCCATTTACTCCCATCTCATCACACCCAGCCCAATTTGCAATGACCCGACCCAAAAAATTGGGCGGGAACACTATTTAAAACACCATCCAAGCATTATATATAGTAAGATTTAGTACAATAATATTTGTGTGACTCACACCTATTATTTTTCTTAATTTTTAATATCGATATCATTCATATAATTTTCCATTTCTTAGTTTTGTGTCCCTAATTCATGCCAAAAATATTGAGACTAAGTGAGAAATATTTTTCATTAATCTTCTTTAAGAGGCAGAACTTAACACAAATAATTCAATGTTTCATCGATTAAACAAAAATTAAATTAAATTGTATTGTAAACTCAGTACTTTATTTATCATATACCGGAGTATTTATACATGCATATGAGGAGGTAAAGTATGGTCTAGGTAAACAAGGAAACAAATATTCTAAATAATATGCGTAATATATCTGCAAATATATTGTCGTTCATTATATTAATGGATAATGTTGGCCAGGTTCTTCAGGACCCGTGTTAACTGATACTGCAGGATCAGTTTTGTTGTTTCATTAAAAACCTTACTAAGAAAATTCAGTGAGACAAAACTTTGTTAATGGAAAAAGAGTACAACATGTATAATGTTTTCTCTCAAAATAAAATTATACTCCCTCCAAACTAATTTATCTCTTTTAGCTTACGAAGTCTAATCTTCTTTGTGATTGCTCGAAACTATGTCTAGGCAGAGATCGATTCGGTGAATAAGTCTGCGATATTTTTGCTTGATTTAACTTGAAGAACATCAATTTCTCCTTATTTCTGTAGATCAGATGTTGAGAAAACTTTGGTGAGACGTGCTGCATTTTGTCTCCCTTGATGTCGCTTTCCTTGATCTGAGCTATGCATGTTGCATTGTCTTCATAGATAACCATAAGATTCTTCTTGATTTCTTCCAAACCGCATGCTCCTTATATAAGATCAATCATCGATCTCAACCACACACACACTCGACCAACTTTATATAGTGCTACTAATTCTGCTTTATCTGATGATGTTGTTGTTAGAGTTTAATTTGCTCTGTTGACTTCCAAGAAATTGTTATGTTGTGCCACTATATGGAACAGATAACCTGTTTGAGAACGTGCATTGTAACACCCTACCCTAATCCGTTCAAGTCTGCAGCCCTTTTCAGATCAAAGTGTTAGCTTGATGACGTAAAAATTTCAAACATTTAAAACTTTATTTCACACAACTGTGCAAAATATTTTGAAATAACATCGGAGTATAATTATTCAAAACAGTGCGAAAGCGATTTGCAAACTACAACAGTATGATCAACCCATGTGATAAAATCATTTACTTAAATATATACCCCGGAGTAGTACATTTGTGTACGTCCACGCATCACCTACACCTCAGTATTCTCGAGAATAAACTCCACATTTATTCTTTCTCATATCTATGTGTAGAAAGATGAAAAAAGTCTATACGCTCATCAATGAAGATGAGTGGCACTACCATGACACAACAAATAAAAGTTGTGCTCCACATCCAAATAAAAATTGTAGTGTAAGTGTCTAACTCATCCTTCATTAAAAACTACAATGGCTGAAAAACGAGTAAATGTATGAATAACGTTTGAAAGTAAAATGTTAATAATATGATAATTAAACCAAGTAATGTTATGCTAAGTAAATTATATGAAATATTTGCACTAAATAGGACTAAACCTTAAGTCGTTATTTTAAATAACATTTAAAACTATTTTATTTCGTAAATAGCATTTAATAATGTCCACAAGAAGAAATAATGTCCAGTGGTGGTGAACATTTACTTAAATAATGATTAATGGATAATGACTAAAAGTGCTACATTGAGAAAAAACACGTATGATGTTGTTTAGAGAAAGTTTAGTGCTATTTAAGTAAATTCTCCAAATTATGTTTTAATGCTATTTAAGTAAATTCTTCAAAGTATATATGCCAACTGGATACTCGTGAAACTGTACAAAATTCACAAGGTGACGAACATGATGCTATAACACTTTTAGAACAACTCAAAATAATGCCAACAACTTTGAAACACAACATTATTGATTTCCATCACCCACATTATCCTACTACTACGTACGACATTCAATCCATACTTCACGTTGGTTGCATGGAAATCCTTGCAAATTGAATCTCAGCCTTAAGAGCATACTTTTATTTTTATCCATCCATGTATGCACCAAACCTTTTCTCAACATATCTTACCCAAAACTAAATTTACCACCTCCACCATTATTTCCTTTAATTATATTCGACCTCGCCAGTTCCCTTCAATGGCGTCGCCGCCGTCTCTCCGCCGCCGTCTCATTGTGTTACCATTAATGTTCATCATAACCCTGCTTCCCCATGCACAATCGAATCTCAGCCCCGACTATTACAACAAGACGTGCCCACAATTCACGGAGATTGCACAGAGAATCATCGTCGACAAGCAGCTCTCCACCCCCACGACGGCAGCCGGCCTCCTCCGCGTCTTCTTCCACGACTGCATGGTCGGCGGGTGCGACGCCTCCCTCCTCATCTCCTCCAACTCCTTCAACACCGCCGAGCGCGACTCCGACCTCAACCGCGCCCTCCCCGGGGACGCCTTCGACGTGGTGGTGCGCCTGAAGACCGCGCTCGAGCTCGAGTGCCCGAACACCGTCTCGTGCTCGGACATTCTGGCCGTCGCGGCCCGCGACCTGATCACGATGGTCGGCGGGCCCTACTACGACGTCCGGTTCGGGCGGAAGGACAACCTCGTCTCGCGCGCCTCGGACGTGAAGGGCCACATCGCGACGCCCAACATGACCGTCGACGAGATCGTCTCCACGTTCGCCTCGAAAGGCCTCGACGTGCGGGACCTCGTGACGCTCTCTGGGGCCCACACCATCGGGTTCGCGCACTGCTCCGAGTTCGCCAACAGGATCTACAACTTCAGCGAAACCGCGCCCGTGGACCCCACGCTGCACCCCACGTACGCCGAGGCGTTGCAGAAGCTCTGCGCGAACTACACGATCGAGCAAGGGATGTCGGCGTTTAACGACGTCATGACGCCCGGGAAGTTCGACAACATGTACTACAAGAACCTGAAGAATGGGATGGGGCTGCTAGCCTCGGATCAAGCCCTGGTTTCTGACCCGAGGACCAAACCGTACGTGGACCTATACGCGGAGAACCAGACCGCGTTCTTCGATGCGTTCGCCCGCGTGATCGAGAAGGTGAGCGTTTACGGGGTCAAGACGGAAAAGGATGGAGAGGTGAGGAAGAGATGCGACGCTTTCAATAGTTTGCAAGGCGACAATGGCGAGAAGGGGACTCATCAAAGCTTATAAGGTTCATGCATGCATAGGGTACAATAGAAATTTGGGACAAGTGTTATGAGCGTAGTATAAGCGATCGATCACACTCTTCATACACTTACATATGTAATGCTGATTTAATTAAAGTCATACTTTGATTTATCACGCTTTTTCAGTCCAACATTTTATTTATTCAACCATGAGTATGTACATTTATGAATAAAATAGATGCTATAAATGTAAATACTACTTTCATCGTAGATTATTTGTCAAGTTTTGACTTTTTTATAATTAAAAATTGACAAATTTGATCATTATTTAACTAAAACCAATATTAATTATATCTTGATACAAGAATAATTTTATAGATTTTTCGACTATCCTTAAAATAATACGGAGTATTGTTTTATCTAAATAATATATTTCAAAATTTTTATTTAAATAAAGTTCGAAGACGTATTAAATTTATTACAAAAAGTCAAAATTATTAAATAAATAATCTAGGATGAAGGGTGTATGAAATTTTTAAATTAATCTAATAATTTCAATTTAAGAGTACTCCATATAGATCAAAGAATGTGGGATAATAATAATAACCAAACAAATATCATAGTAATAATAATAACAACAACTACAAAACTAAAATTATTATGAGAAATTTACCTAAATAGGACTAAAACATAATGACATTCTCAATGTAGGACCATATGTTTTTATTTCTCAATGTAGGACTTTTGATCATTATCAAGTAGTCATTATTTAAGTAAATGTCTAGTAGTATTGGACATTATTCTTTCCACTAGGTTATTATTAAGTCCTATTTAGGGAATAAAAAAGTTTAAGTCATACATCAGGAAAGGCATTATGTTTTAGTCCTATTTAGTGCAAATTTCACAATTATTATTTTTAAGTTAATTGATTTGAACACTAATAAAGAAATAAAAATAAAAATTCATATACCTAAAAACTATACAAAAAAATTTATAGAAGAAATTTTATAAGGATAATATTTTAAAAAATTAATAATGAAAATAAAAAAATAATTAAAGCTAATTTTTATAAAGATTGGACAAGCAATATAGTTTGAGACACATAATTTTTATTTCTTCTAAGGCCACAAGTGTATGCAAATGCGATCCACAGTCAAAAACCCCATTCACGTGCTGCGATCAAAGCCCACCAGCATGCCCATTAGATTCCGAAGCCCTTACTAGTTACTCCTTCCATCCCGCCGCCGCTGCCTGAAAAACTCTATTGCGAACTTCGCTCATTTCTCTCACACCACCACCGGAGACCGAGCATATCCCACCCTTTCCGGCCTCGTACCTCGTAATCGGTCCACCATACGCCGCCCTATTCATGCGCAATGGCTAGCAAAGAGTCAAAGCGTTCAACTGCCAGTGAGTGTTCTCATTCTGTTTACCTAACGAAAATTCTTCTGTATTTTTTGTTTCATTTCGTAGTTTTTTTGAGTTTTCCTTTCGCCTGTGTTTTTCTCTCAGAGGGGAAGAAGGAAGTCAAGAAAGAGACTGGGTTAGGTCTTACTCACAAGAAAGATGAAAACTTTGGAGAGTGGTATTCTGAGGTAAATATGTATTTGAAACATGAGATTCAATCGATTGAGTGTTGGATGAAAGCATTAATCTGGAGATTTCTCCCGAAATTTATGTTAGAAACAATTGTAGTGCGTGTGCGTGTTCATGATTGTCGTTCGATTTGTACATAGGTGGTTGTTAATGCTGAAATGATCGAGTATTATGATATTTCTGGCTGTTACATTCTTCGTCCATGGGCAATGTCCATCTGGGAGATTATGCAAGTAAGCTTTCAGACTCATTTGTTTCTCTGATCTGAGCTTTTTCAAGTTGGAATTATTTTTTTGTGAATGAGACTAAATTATCTAATAATTTGTGTTTATGTAGAAATTTTTTGATGCCGAAATTAAGAAAATGAACATAAAGAACTGCTACTTCCCACTTTTTGTTACTCCCGCTGCTCTGCAAAAAGAAAAGGACCACGTAGAGGGTTTTGCACCTGAGGTAAGACTGTATAACGTGGAATATTTATCTCCAAGTGTTATGGATAATGAAACATGCCTTTCAGTGCTTTAATGACTGTCAAAGTGCTTGTTTTGAATTCTCTGCAGGTTGCTTGGGTTACAAAGTCCGGAGACTCTGACTTGGAAGTTCCAATTGCAATCCGTCCAACAAGTGAAACAGTTATGTATCCTTTTTTCTCAAAGTGGATAAGAGGACATCGCGATTTGCCTTTGAAACTAAACCAGTGGTGCAATGTTGTGCGTTGGGAGTTCAGCAATCCCACTCCTTTTATCAGGTGTTCTTCGCGGACTATTTTTTTTTCTAAAAGTCAGTTTGGATGGAGAGTTTTAGAGGGGAAGTGTTTGGATGAATTGGTCAATATCTCGATCAATTGAATGTTTTTAAAAACAAATGTATTGTGATTGAAATGTTATTTGATCACTTGTCATGTTTTCCTTCAATTCTGTACAATCTCAAATAATAATTGATGTAGATTTAGCCCACCAAAACCCCCACCCAGTCCGTGCACCTTTTTTTTTCTATCTGCTCTCTAATCAATATATCTGCAATCTTGCTCTCACACAACATTTTGGAATTGTTTGAATTTTCCAGAAGCCGTGAGTTTCTATGGCAAGAAGGGCACACTGCTTTTGCGACTAAAGAGGAGGCAGATGCAGAGGTAGCTTCTTTCTTTAATCTTAAATTTATGTACTCCCTCTGTTTTGGAAAACAGTTCCTCTTTCATTTTTTTCGGTTTCAACAAAACACCTCCACTTTTGCAAAAAAAAAAGACTAATATATCCAAAGAAAGTCATTGCAAATACTCCATCCATTTTGCATTGATATAATTTGTTATTTAAGTGATTTATCTTTCTTTTTTCTTTGACGCTAAGGATATACTCCGTAATTGGAAAGACAATTTATGAAAATATAATTGACAAAAGTCAACATAGGAACTTTTTTTTGCAAATGGAGGGAGTATAGTAATACTCGTTGCACTAGATTGACAGAGTTTTTTCTGGTGTGTGTGTGCACACACACACACATATAAATTTATTTATTTGTGGGGGGCCTTCTTGTCAGGTTCTTGATATTTTGGAACTGTATAGAAGGATTTACGAAGAGTATTTGGCTATTCCAATCACCAAGGGGAAGAAAAGTGAGCATGAAAAGTTTGCTGGTGGACTCTATACAACAACTGTCGAGGTTTAGTTATATATTAATTGCAATTTGTTGACATTTTTGTTGGATACTTCATATGTTATAGTTCTACTTATTTGAACAGTGTTCTCTAAGGTATTTGACTTGGTTAGCTCTATCTGTTTTGCTCAGGCATTTATTCCCCACTCTGGTCGTGGTGTTCAAGGTGCTACTTCACACTGCTTGGGACAAAATTTTGCAAAAATGTCAGAGATATACTTTGAAAATGAGAAAGGAAAAAGGGATCTGGTCTGGCAGAATTCATGGGCATACACTACCAGAACGGTAGAACAAATATATCTGTTTTTCTATAATAAATCTGCTTTATACAACAAAATACATATCATATTCAACGTTCAAATCCTTCATTTTGTTTGTAACATTTTATACTTCAGATTGGGGTGATGGTCATGGTTCACGGTGATGATAAAGGGTTGGTTTTGCCGCCAAAGGTTGCCTCACTCCAAGTAATTGTTATTCCAGTGCCATACAAGGATGCTGACACACAAGGGATCTTTGATGCGTGTCTTGCCACTGTTGAAAAGTTGACAAAATCTGGTATTCGTGCGGAGGCAGACATCAGGGATAACTATTCCCCTGGCTGGAAATATTCCAACTGGGAAATGAAGGGTGTGCCTCTTAGGATTGAAATAGGACCAAAAGACCTTGCTAATAAACAGGTAGATATGCCATATACTGTTATAGTTATGTGGTGTACTTGCTAGTGTCATAGGATGTGTGCTTCTTGAGTCTGCCGTCTCACCTTGTTGGTGCTACTGTGTTTACTTTACTCTATATCTGCTTTTTGCGGGGGATCTCTTAGAAAACATCTTTACTTCAAGTAGGGGTAAGGTATGCATACAAACACCCTACCCAGACTACTTTTGCAGGATTCTACTGTGTTTCTTGTTGTCATCATAAATCATTAGTAGTAATTATGCAATATTAAATATAAAGTGTGAGCAATCAGTGATTTTTTTTCTCTTATACACTGATTAATTGGTTATCACAATGGAAAAGCTGATAATGTATTTTTCAGGTAAGAGTGGTTAGGCGTGACAATGGGGCAAAAATTGATATTCCCATGGATAGTGTAGTTGAACAATTGGAAGACATGCTCAGGGCTATTCAGCAAAATCTCTTTGACATTGCCAAACAAAAGCGAGATGCATGCGTCCAGGTTGCAAAAACATGGGATGAGTTTGTGAAAGCTCTGAATGAAAAGAAGTTGATCTTAGCTCCGTGGTGTGATGAAGAGGTATGAATGCCTGTTCCTAATGAATTATGCATTACTTTTGTTTCTTTTTTTTCCTTTGTGGGAGAATAGGATTTGGTTGGATAACAAATGCAAAAAGGTTTGCAAGGCACACCTCTTGAACATGTGCAAAAATGACAAACACTAATATATTTTCATATAAAGAAATTTTGTTCATGCTTGTTTGAGTACTGTTTACATACAGTAAATGAATAAATTAACATGTATTTGATAAACAATGAAGTGAGCAGTTAAATACCCACTTTCACATTATTGAAACACAAAACTCTTACGTCACAAATTATAAATCACAACCCAACTACTGGTGAAACTTGTTGAAGAACACCATTATGCGTGCTTTAACTGTGTTTGTTCACGAACACGCTAAAAGAGCACCAATCAAGGCTCTCTCAAAAGTTTATCCAACAAGCTTCTCACTGTTCATGCTATGTACATTTAATATTCAAGTCTTAAAATAGTAGTCATTTATGTTCGTGTATATAACCAATCAAACATGATTAGATAAAATATCAAAGAAGCCCAAACACGATATGATTGTTGAACACTATGTTCATTTCTTGCCCTAATCGTCATCACTGCCTTAACCACATAACCCGATCTAGCAAACAAGAATAGTACATGGACTAAATTCCATCTGTTTTGGGTACATGAACTAATTTGCACCTTTTTAGATTGTACAAGAACCTCTATGGTACCTTCTCTGCCTTTTGTACCATTGTTTCCATGTTTGTGAGTTTCCTTGTCAGTAGATTGCATGTACTAGCGGTCAGGGTTTTTTAGTTTAGCATGCTCATGGAAAAAGCGCTACTTAAAATCATATAATTGTACACGGGTTCTCTCCTTTATTACATTGAATTCATGTGATCTCTTTCTTTTTGCTCTGCAGGAGGTTGAGAAAGACGTGAAAGCACGCACAAAAGGAGATATGGGTGCAGCAAAGACACTGTGTTGTCCATTTGACCAGCCTGAGCTTCCAGAGGGTACTGTTTCATATCAAGTTATATATAAAACGAGATTCTTTACGGCATGTTTATAGTGTTTGGTAGAAATTAGACTGCAGAAGAAACTTCCATAAACAATGGTTTCATTAGATCTCTTTTCTTGGAAAAGTTAAGTGTTTCATATAACTATAGGAAGTTCAAATTAAATTCCATGAGAATATAATTTACACATTTGGTTTTTTAAGAACTTGCATGGAAAAGTAGATCTCATGCTAAAATCTCCTTATCATGGAATTTTGATTCCGTTGAAGCCCATTTTCCCTAATAAACTACTAGTAGAGACGGCGAGCATTCCCCCCTTCCCCCCGTATTCTTCTAGCATTTTTTCCTTGTTATGATGCTGCGTCTACTATAGCTCATTACCTGATGCTTGAATATCGGACGAATCATTACAAATATAGTAAGTGCTTCAACTTTCATGTTCTTATTGTTCTTTTAAATGATTCCCACTTTCTTTTTCCTGCTTGTAGGAACGTTGTGCTTTGCATCGGGCAAACCTGCCAAGGTATGGTCATATTGGGGGCGAAGTTATTGATATGATTATTTGATATGAATACTCGACTCGGTAATGGCTCATGGTATATCTATATTGAAGTGGAACTCTACAATTCTTGATTTCTATGCCTGAAAATCCAGGTGAAGGACATATTTTCTCCTTTTTTTCCCCTTCTTTTTTTGTGGTTTTGAAAACAGATTTACGAAAAGATGTCTTTACATTGAAGCGAAACATCATGAATCACTCATGTGGATTTTACCTATGTAGAACCGCACACTGAAATCTTTTTGAAGGACTGCCCTAAACTAAGTACCCCCACCCCAAACTTTGATCCCAAACAATTTTCCCTTCAACGATCACCGCTTTTTCTGGTTGCCCCGCCTTGCCCTATTCAATTTTATTCGAGCAATGCTACGTTCACAAACAAGATATTCACAAACTTCACAAACTTACTATTTATGGTTTAAATTTTCATTTTAAAATTATTTTAGACTATTTAATTTTATTTATTGAAGTTCACAAAAAGTAAGTTTGTGAAGTTTGTGACCATTTTGTTTGTGAACAAAGCATTTTCCATTTTATTCATTCTCGTAGGATCACATGTTTTTCTTTGCATTTTCATTTGTACCACTCAGAGCTTCCCGACCTGAACGTACCTCACCCTGCAACCAGTAACACCATAAACAGGAATAATGGCAAATATAGAACACAATAGCAGTGAGAGTTGGATCAAATTGGGTAGCACTAGGTCCAATTCATAAGAGTCATAAGATGTTTATGTACAAAAAAATACACTGATTGATGCATGTTTTTTTGGAGCATTGGTTGATCAATTAGTACAAGTCTTTGGTCACAAACAATAGGCCGTTGGTTGAACACTAGAATAATGACAATACTAGAAGCTACGAATCATTTCCTTTTTTGGGTTTTTGAAAATAATTTGTGGTCTATTTGACATTAATTTTAAATTTAATTTCCTTAAAGAAAAACCAAAAAAGGCGTCATGGTTCATTCACAAAAAAAAACATTGTAGTGACAATTTAATTTGGTTTTCACGGCATAATAATCAGGATAGGGACAATTAAAAAAAACAGATTTAAGTACTATAATGCCAAGAATCATGCCAAATGAGAACATTTATTAAGTCACTTATGCATTAAACTCCTCACTCTTCCACACCATCATTAGAAGTTTTTCTTTCATATCTCTAAGAGGATTAGTTCAACTTCTTGGCTGAGTTTCACACTCATTTTTTTAATTATCAAATAATGTGCGGTTTTTTTTTTGTTTTATTATGTTTGTCTCACTTTACCATGGAGTAATTTTGTGTCCCCTAATATTTTAATTTCATGCAATGCTTGGTTATACTAGAGTGGTTCATATCCTTTTTCATTTAATTACATAATCTTATTTTTCTTAACTTTTGTATCATTAATTTATGCTTAAAAATAATGGGATGGAAGGAAGGGGTGGGGTAATGCTATTTATGCTCAATAGGGAGAAACAAATTAAATACAAGTATATATTAGGGAACGATTTTTGGATGAAATACTCCGTATAAAACAAGTACGGGTATAAAATATAAAATATGGATCAATTGACTCATCTAGAAAACAAGTACTCTTTTTCGTCCATAATTAAAGTTTTTGTAGCGTGTTACGATGTTTAACTGAAATTATTTTTAGATCATTTTATATGAAAAATGTTATGGAATTAAAAAGTAAAAATTATATATTTAAAAAACTACATAAAAGATCTACAAAACTAGATGTAATATTATGTATTATTTTATTAAATATGAAACGAAAATAGGTTAACAAAGTAAACAAAGTTTGATCCTATTAATAGTGAACAGGAACTTTAATTATAGACGGCGAGAATAGGAATGAAAACAAGTATGATCAATTGACTCAACTAGAAATACTTCGTATAAAATATATGGATGGGAGTACAAGATGAATTGGGTCTATATATATTAGGGAACAATTTTTGGGAACATTCTATTGCTAACAACTCTTAATTAAAATACAACTTAGACAATAGACATAACATGTTAGTTAGTGAGCATGAATATCATCATGAATCATGATTATCGGCACTTATATTGTTTTAAATAATTTCCCATCATTAAGTTGATGGACGTGCAACTAACCGACCCATGGCCCAGGTCACTTGGCCAAAACAATCTCATCAAAAGTTGACTGAAAATTGGAGTTTTTGAAAAGACGACTAAAGACGAATCAATTATGAAATTAGGAAATACAGAGTCATTTATATATCTCCTACAGGGTATATGCAAAATTAAGTTTATTTAATGTGGTTAGACATGGATTCCAAGAGAAAATATATGAAAAGAATAAGAAAAACTAATACTCCCTCCGTTCTATATCTTTCTTCCCGGTTCGCAAAACGAAGAAAAATCTCAAGTTTTTTCAATCTATTTTATTTAAATATTGGTATAGAAATAAAAAATAAAACATACATATTTAAAAACTACATCAAAAGTTCAACAAAACAAGTGGTGACAAGAATATTTTATTTTATCATGAAAAAACACAAATAAATATAAATTCCCGTGAAGTTGGAATAGTGCTATGGGAAGAAAGTTTTAGGACGGAGGGAGTAACAAAGAAATGATCGAGTGGTAAATGGGCAATATATAAGCTGTGCCACAATTCATATGGGATGTTAAAATAATCAGTCCTACTAAAAACAAAATTATGGGTCTTAATTAGATGTTGATAGATTACTTTGAACGAACATGACCGAGTTCAGAAATTTCACAACGTATCGGCTAGGGAATCCAAATTATCCAATGCATCAAAAGTCATTTTGCTTCTTGGCTCTTCAATAAAAACTCATTGTCCTTAATTGAGCCCATCAAGTCCACACTACTCCATAGACCAAACATTGTGCTTCCCTCTAACTAGTCCATTCAAACACAAGAATATGGGATGACTATAGAGTATTTCTGGTCTCTAAATTCACTCTACTTTTTTAATTTAATTCACTCTACATGTATTTATCACTTTTATTTTTTATTGTGGGTAGAAGTTGATTTTTTGATATTTGAGACGAGATATAAATATTTTATAAGATGCGTACAAAGTGATACAGGACCCCATCTTTTAGGGACGGAGTTCTTGATATACTCCCTCCGTCCCAAACAGATTTACACCTTTCAAAAAAATTGCGTCCCACAATCTCCTACCCATTTTTATTAAAAAACCACTTTTACCCCTTATTTTTTCAAACTCTACCTATCACATCATACCTTTTTCCTAATAATCTACACATCACATCATACTTTTACCCATCACATCAAGAGTATTTTTGGAAAGTCAACACAAAATTATCCCTCCCTTAATTTCAACTTTAGTCAAAATGTGTAAATCTTTTTGGGACGGAGGGAGTATAAGAGAGAATAAAATTTTATTTTATGTATATTATTGTACATCAAAAATTAAGTACAACAAATGTATGGGATTTGTTTTAATGAAGACCTACCCCGGCTATCAATCCAGCAACCTCAATCCTAGCTCCAGATCTAAACCTTTACTACTTGGTTTATTATTATTATTATTACTATTACTATTCAAAGTAGCACATGTGGGCCCTTTCACCGCCGCCGGACGATAACAATCATTCATCATGTTCATCGTCCTTGCCGGCGGCGGTAACGATACGTCCGGCGACGACGAGGACGAGAATTTCGCCGGGTGAATCTCCGGCCAGTTCTTCCCGGAGAGCGTGAACGCCGGAGACGAATCCCGGCGAAACACATCGTGGGCCCCGAACCGGATTTGCCACGAAGCCGCCGGTGGCGGCGAAGTGACGACGTCGTAACCGTAGGGACCCGCGTAATTCTGGAGCGCCGCCGCGGGCGGCGGCTGGAGATAGTAGCAGTTCATCATGAGACTCTTCTTCTTCTTCATTATGATCCTCTCCTTCTTGTGGGCGTTTTGATGGCCTCCCAAAGCTTGGGAGTTCCCAAACTCTTTGCAACAATATTGGCACTCAAATCTCCTGTTCTTGTTGTTGTTGTTGTCGTCTTCCGAGGAAGAAGACTGCGACGGTTTCTCCCGGTCGGACGTGGAGACGGTGGAAGATGACGACGAGAAGTCTTCCTGACGTAGTGGGCCCGGCGCCTCCGCCAGGGCGGGGGTGTGGAGCTCGACGCCGAACAGCTTCAGCTTCTTCCCCGCCGGAGTGGGCTCCACAATAGGGTTTCTGGTGTTGGCTCTGTACTTGCATGGAGATGATGGAAGGGACTTATAAGAGACATCATTAACCATTTTTTTTTTGTTTTCTTGAAAAGATATAAGCAAAGATTTAATTTGTTTGGTTTTAATGGTATGTAATGTAAGAATATTGTTTGGCCACTCGTCTCTCTTATATAGTACTCCTATGTCACACGTAAGTCAATGTGATGTTTTTTTATTTAAATATAAAAATAATTACGGAGTAGTAAAATAGTAGGGGTACAAATGTACAAGGGGTATTATTCGTCCCCTTTCCCAATTTTCTTCCCAGGTGGGACTATGATTAATTACGGGTCTACATTTTTTTCTTCATTTAATCATTTACAATATCTTCAACATTTTGATTTTTTGATCAATTATATTATCATCACTTAGAAGAATACTCATTTGTTCTAAAAAAAATCAATGTTATGATTTATAATGCCTGATTTAATTTATTTTAATTAATTCTTTAGAATTGATATACTACTCCCTCTAGTTTTAAAAATATTTCCTGTTTTGATTTTTTTGGTCAAATAATTATACTCTTTGATCATAAATTAAACATAATCTAAATAAATACTGCGTAAATGATATAAAAATATGATATATCAAAACTAATCGTATTATTGCATCACTTGCATTTTACATTTTTTTAAAATGTTAAAAATAGTTGTCAAATGAGCCCACGGTAATGTTTTTACAATATTTATTTTCGTATAACTACAGAAATTATGGCATTTATTTTTCGGTAAACCATATCTTCGTTACTCCATATAAAATTTAATTATTATGCCCCCGCCCGGACTCACCAGCATTAAACTGTAAACTCACTTTTGAAATGAAAAAAAAAACTAGTTGTTGTCAAACGAGTCCAAAGTAATATTTTATAATATTTTTTTATATATAAATATATAAATTATGGCATTATTTTAATTAAATATATTGTTCGGTAAACTATATCTTCGTTAACATTTTACAGTAATTCGTACAAAATTTGGGACAAATCACTTCAGAACTATGAGGGACAACAATATAAGTTTTGAAATTATAGGAAATAACATTACACAGTTGCCAAATTACAAGGAATCATGACGCAATAAACTACTAAAATTTGATTATATCCCGGCCCGGACTCCCCGTTATTAAACTGTGAACTCACTTTTGAAATTTTAAAACCTTTTCTTTTTTTCGTAAAGGAAAAAAAGACTTTTTAAATTTAGTGGATGAGCAAAAAATCCAATAATAGTGGCCTGATGGGTATTTTATTAATCATTTATACATGAGAGCTTAGAAAATGGAATGTTTAATCATGGTAATTAATAATTACGAGGATTATAAATGTACGAAAAAGTCAAAATTAACAACAGTAAGTTGTCTAGTGCAATTTCAATTTTTTTGGTCGTTGTGGCTCACACCACACCAATGATATTCGCATCACAATTTTTAAATTAAAATATGTGTAACTATTTGTGTGAACATGTAAAATTTATTATTTAATGCGTTATTTAACAACCAGAACAATTTATTTAACATCAAATTTTACCAATTTAAAATAAAATACTACCTCTGTCTCAGAGTTTGTTCAGTTTTGACTTTTTCTAGTTAACTAAAATTTCACTTTTGTCCTATAATTAAATAAAATTTATATTACATATTAATTAGATAAAATTATATTTTGAAAATATTTTATATAATAAATCTAATAAAACAATTTTTGTATTAATATGTAATACCATTTTTACTTAATTTGGGATCAAATTTTACCAATTTTGATAAAAAAGTCAAAAGTAAACAAATATTCCAAAAGTGAAGAGAGTATGTTTATAATTATTGATTCATACTTCGTATAACGCATGAATCATGCTTTATACAAAGTGCTTTATCCGTTTTTAATGCAGAAGTAATTGTGTTTGAAAAAAATACTCACTTCATATGTTTCAGAAATCTTTTTTATGCATGTCATAATATTTGACTAGAGTTATTTTACTCATATGCATTCATCACTTTGTATAAAAAATGATGCAAAATTAAAAAATAAAATTTACTTGTACTCCGTATATATTTAAACTTTTTTTATAAGTTGTTCACTTTTTGTTTTTCGATAAATTGAGAAAATACATACTCCCTCCGGTCCTAAACACATGAGAGTTATTGATTTTTAAGAGATTTAAGCGAAGTGTATTTTGATATTGAATTTTCAAAAAAGTCTTTTGATGTGATTGGTAAATGTAAGATTTGATGAGTAAATTATTAGTAAAAAGGTACGATGTGATTAGTAGGGTATGAAAAAGTACTGAATAAAAGTAACTTTTTAATAGAAATAAGAAGTGTTTTTTGAGACGGATGAAAAAAGAAAAAAAAGTTTTTCGGATGGAAAGAGTATATTGTAATTATAAGAATTACAACCCAATTGAATGACAAAAGACTATGTAGGGTATAAGATATTACTATCCATTGCAATAATAGTGTAAAAAAATGTACAAATGATGAAAAATGATTAGTTATCAAGTGTAATTAATACTCCCTCTGTTTCTAAATAGATTGTAATTTTTTTCTACTCCTCTCGATAACTTTTGTTTGTTTACGCGATTTCATTAAGTATTTGATAAAATAAAATATTCTTGTCACCTCTTATTTTGTAGAACTTTTGACATAATTTTTTAATATGTAATTTTTATATCTTATTGATATACCAATTTGTAAATAAAATGATTTCAAAAAGTAGAAAATTTTACTCCGTAACCCACAACTTGTAATCAAATTGGGGACGAAAGGAGTATAAAAACTTCCTTTTAATACATTTTTATGTTTGAAAGATAAAAGTGGTAAGGAGGAGATATAGAATTATGGAGTATAGTTTCAATAAAGATGAGGACAAATGTGGAGTAAACTTAGGGTTTGGAGCCACCCTATCTATGTAGCAGGCCCCACATAACATAGAGAGAAAAAACAAACAAACAAATGGAGAAGTTGTGGACTTTCGTTCACCACAAATTAGAAAAACATGCCACTTATGTCCACCCCACTTGGTGACTCTGGCGGCCGGCTTCACTAAAACTACTCTCATCCTTCTTAAAAATTCACACAGATTTTTTTGATTAAACTATGCCAAACTTCGATCTCCAGTTAAATATTATAAAAATATGATATTTTTAAACTATATTTTAAAATAAATTAAATTTTACTAAATTTAAATTATTAATAAATATATTTTTTTCATAGTTCACGGTCAAAGGGTGCAGAGTAATAAATAATCTATCCCAAAATGTTTTACATTTTACGTAAAATAAAATGATTTTTTTATAAATTAATTTTTTTAATACTACTACTACGACAACGACGAAGTATTATTTAGGGTTAAGAGTGGTAGGAAAACATAAAGCGATTGATCTCAAATTTTGTCATCAAACCGGCCGGTTACTTACATTCAACCTAAGGGAGTAGTTTTTTGTTCAATTACTTTTAATAATATTTTGTCTATCCAATTCTGTATTATTTTCAATACTCCGTATAATTTTTTACATAATATATATACTTGAATATTTTTAAATTTCTCCTTGTAAATCAATTTTTTTACACAAGTTTTTTAATGTATACTTCAAAATAATTACTACCGAGGGAGCATTTTCAAATATATACATACATTTTATTTTTTAAGTACTCCATGTAAACCAATTTTCAAATAAGTATATATCAAAACAATTAACACCGTACGTATGTGCATCTTAACTCATAACTATAAACTTAATTTCGTAACGATAAAAGGAGTGTAAAAATGTGAATATATAGTTATTGTTATACTCTGTATTTTATTTAGAAAAATAGTGGAAATATTATTATGAGTTTCACATTTTTTGCCCAACAAGAAAAGATGAAAAAAGAAAAGGTATAAATTAAATTTTATGTGACATGATATATAAGATGGTTTGTATAATTCTTGAGAGGACGTACATAAACTTTAACATAATGGAGCTAGCTAGTCGATTCATGTTAGTTGTGTTAGCCAGCTAGTAATTAACTTATTAGTCCGTACATGTGTTAAATTAATTAAGAAATATTTGCACTAAATAGCACTAAAACTTAAGTCATTTCTCTAAATAGCACTTAGATTGTTTTCTTCTCTAAATAGAGCACTTTATAATGTCCATAATGACCAGTGATGACAAACATTTACTTGAATAATGACTAATGTATAATGACTAAAAGTGCTACATTGAGAAAAAAACATATATAGTGCTATTTAGGGAAAGTCATTATGTTTCAGTGCTATTTAGAGAAATTCCTCATTAATTAACCAACCCAAACAATAATGTCAAAGAAAGATGGATTAATTATGATGATGATGACATAACATCTTCATGTCATATTGTGATGTCAGGTGTTGCGAATTAATGCCAATTCAATCAACTTGTAGTACCCCATCTCTACGTCCCATTATTAAATGTAATGCGATGTAATAGAGTACGTATTATTGTTTTACGGAGTATTATTAATTAATATGTCAAAGGTTTAAGGTTTTCCTTTGAAAGAAAGGTTTAAGCTAAGGTTTAAAAAAATATGAAATTGAGTTGTTAATTGTTATTATTGGAACTACTCCCTCCGTCTCTAAATAAAGTTCCATTTTTGACTTTTTGAGGATTTAAGGGAGGGATATTTTTGTGTTGACTTTCCAAAAATGCCCTTGATGTGATGTGTAAAAAGTAAGATGTGATAGGTAGATTATTAGTAAAAAGGTATGATGTGATAGGTAGGGTATGAAAAAGTAATGGGTAAAAGGAGTTTTTTAAGGAAAAAGAGAAGTTTATTTTGGCATCAGCTTTAAAGATCAGCGTTAGCGTTTTAAAAAAGACTATCTGACAATAGCTTCTACATTAACGTTTTTCGAATTAATCTACACCCTTAATATTTTATCAAAACTACTAACTCTAATTGAAAACGTTTTTCCCAAAATATAGCGATTTAATTAAGAAATTATAATCACTTTGATATACTCCGGCCACTTGCATGAATAATTATTGGAGCATTATTTTTTTATTTAAACAAAAATTTTAAAGAAAAATATATTATGTGGTTCGTTCTACGTTCGATCTGTCTATAGCTACACCTTTTTTTGGTGTAAAGATTATGTTCACACGGA